AGTAATAATTAAGATCTGTTTTTACTTCTCGAGCACAGTAGACAAGTTCTGTATACTCCATTGGCTTCAATTCTGTAGTCGGGAATAAATCTCTAATTATCCCGTTAAACAATGGGACATCGTAATTTAAAAATTTTGGAAGATTGACGTCAGTAATGGCTCTTAATATTAATACTTCCTCTGCTTCATCAGGAAATCTTAGTTTCAAATTTCCCGCGGTGGATAATACTGTTTTAACTGCTCGCATACCTGCAAAAGAGTAAATTATTAACTTTTTTTTTACAGTTAATTTTAACAGTTGAAAATTCATTTTTAAATATCATTAGCAGTGTTTGAACTTTTCTTTGATTCGATGGATTTTTTTTTTAAATTAGTATATGCTAAGTACTACATAATCAACATAGAATTATCAAAACATAAGGCGGATTACCATAGTCGTAGTGGGACTGTGATGATAATTGTTCTGAACACAATCGATATGTTGTCACTATCTTAACTGACAGATTTCGTGCATCTAGGAACCCACATGAGTACAACGAGATTTCCCCAATCATGGCGTAATCTGGAACCATCATGGCGACTGTTCGGAAAAGAACCTAAAAAATAAAAAAATAAAAAATTATCTCAGGAATGAAATTAAATTACCAATAATCAATTATACAACAACAAATACGGAATTTTACCTTCAAGTTGTCTGGAAGTTCAGTTCTTCCAGCGTACCCGGGGTTCATGGTGATGCAAACGTAACAGGCTGGATTGAGGTTGATTTCTGTTCCTTCGAATATGAACCTCGACATCTTATTCCTAACAGCCTGGATAATGCATAGAATTTGTTGAGCGACAACTGAGAGGACTTCTATCTCAATTCGATTGAATTCGTCGAAACAAGCCCACGCTCCGGACGAAGCCAGACCTTTAAAAAACTAAAAAAAAAATACAGATAAATTAATTTATTTAAACATAGATTAAAATAAAATGATGAAAATGTTGTTAAGATAATACTATATTCCACGACACAGAACCTATTTTTATCAAATTATTAACATCCGTCTAAAACTTCGTGAATAGCTTCAGCTAAAAACTCACGATCACACATTTGCTTTTCACTTAAATCGTAAGATAATTTGATCACAAAATAGATGAAAAAAGGTGGTCTAAAAAAGAATTGGGCTCTTTGGCGTGACCTTCACTGAGAAAACGCCCCATATCTGTGAATTTTCGTAGATGAAAAAGTTGTAGATTAAGCCAGAAATTTGATGGCAAATCATTCACGGAGTTTCAAACTGACGTTAATAATTTGATAAAAAGAGGTCTGTCCCATGGACTACTATTGTAAGACTCCAACACAAAGCCTCAAGTCCGTCAAAGACCTGTAAATGAGTGACTAACAAATGTTTTGAAGAATTGGTAATTAAAGCGGATGAAATAGGGAAGTTGGAAAAATGGCGATTTAAAAAAAAATAATTGTACCGATATTATTATCCGATATTCTTATAACGATATTTTTTTTTTATTTAAGATATTTACAACTGTATTAAGAAAAAAAAAATTACATTCAGTAAATGTGATCAGGGATAAAAAAGGAAGCAATGCTAGAAACGAGAGTGTTCAGATGGTTCTGAAGTTTGTTATAGAAAGATAATTATCTGGATTCGGCCAAATCGGAAACGTAAGTAACATCAAGGTCATTATGGATGATTTTATTAATGACAAAGTAAAGAGCATTGAAGATTTTACGAAAGATTTTGGATTTTTAACGATTAGGTAAGTGAAGAATTCGATGGCTTTGTAGAGTCTCAACTCCGTAATTTCAAATAGGTCTTATTGTTGTAAGTGCTGGAGTAGTCAGAAACCTCAAACGATTTCTTTTCGTTCAGTCTGGTGCGAGGATTCCAATTTAGGACGTAAATGGAGTCCTATTTTTATCGATATTTTTATTATTTTTTTAAAACATCTTTATTGAGATATTACAATCTGTCACATTCAAGGACAATAGTAATAGTGATATAGAGTAGCTCATTCATACTATACAATACATTTTTTTTTTAATCTTATTTTTTATCGATATTAAAATTTGACTTTCAAAAACCAACATTAAAAATAAATTAAAATAGCCAATCCACCTGGTAAGCGCAGAAGAAAAATGAAGTTTTTTTTTTTTTTAAATACCTAAGAAATTTTTGAAGGAAGCTAGTCGACTGTTCTACATATCATGGATGATAAATATTCAGGACGCAGTCTTTTAAAAAAAAATTAATTTTTTTTATTTTTATTTTTGCCAACGTTTCAACCCAAAAATGTGGGTCATCTTCAGGGCGTGGTTCAAGCACTGAATTCTTACTCTGTTAGAATTAAGTACTTTTAAGTAAACATTTTTTTTTAAAGACTGCGGCCTGAATATTTATCATCCATGATAAGAAATGTTCGATAAGTTTATTACATCCTGAAAAAATAATTGTTTTGGGTTTAATAATGAAAACTGTGTTTTGTAGTTTTCATCATTATAATTCAATTCAATATTTGTATTCTTAGTAGTTTAATTCAATGTTCCCTAGTTCTTACAATTAGTAACAAATATTTTTTTATTATTAATGTCAATGTTCTGTTAAGGTCTCTGATTTGGAAAAATTGTTTCCGCAACAAACTTGCCGGATGCTCAGTGGAGACGGCAGGGTTCGCAAAAAAAAAAAAAATAATCAAGAGTCAATTAAATATTAATAACTATCTAACAGGCGCCACGCTATTTAATTTGTTGAATTTGGAAAATAGCGAAAACCATAAAAATAAAAAATAAATAATAAATTTAAAAAAAAAAAGATTAGGACGCGGAGTGAGCTACGAACTCGGAACCTATGGGTTTAAAAACATATGTTAATTAACCTCATAACCTATCGAACCTTCTTACTTGGTTAATAATGACTTTCCCTAATCCCTCGAATAGGGTTTTACAATTCCTTATTAAACATAAAAAAAAAACAATATAATATATACATAAAACATGAAAACAAACAGAAGAAAAATAAGAAAATAAAACTGGCTATTATTAATACTAATGATGAATTTACTTATTTCTATTAATTTAAATAACTGTTAAAGGAAATGAAAATTATGAACAAGAAATTAGATTTATAAGAAAACAAAGAAAATACAATTAACTTTAATTATCAAAAAAAAAGAATATAAAATTATTATAGAACTAAACATTAACTTACGACTATACAATAAACCAATTACAAACATTTGGAAAAAAAATAGATAGAAAAAAAACTTATATGTACATATTTACAAAATCTCAATGCCGAACTTTGCCAATTGGCACATTGAGTTATCTGAGGAAGCGGGAACTTATTCCAGCTAGCGTCGTCAGTGTCTCCCAGTCCACCTCTTTAAACTGTGAAAATGTTCATTCACCAACTTGTAAAATCAAACGGCACTCGTCGCTGATAATCACAGGTTCATGGATAGGAAAAGAAAATCCGGTGTACACCGTAAAACTTTTTTTTTTTTTTTTCTTATGCCAGTCGTTGGTCATTTGGCCATCCGACATCTTGCTGCCCAGTATAATTTAGACTTTCTGATATGTATATTCGAAAATATTTTGTCTCTTATGTCCCTCAAGGCAGGACATGCGTCTAGATGGTCTCCATCCATTGTTCCTAGATGACACAATTTACAGGTAGGATCCTCAGCGACGCCTATCTTGTAGAGATGACTCTGCAGATAGTCGTGACCAGTAGCCAGGCGGAAGCAGGCAACTGCATCTCTTCTCGGCAGCTCAGCTGGAATCGGATTATCCTTCAACCACTCGTAACGCTTCCCTTCCACTTTGCCGAAATGTACTTTTCTTATTTCCTCCTTCACTACCATCTTCACCATTCGCCGTATTGAGTCGTAAGGTTTTGGATGTATCGGCTGAGGCAAATCTGTTCCTCGCTTGGCAAGAATATCAGCCTCAACGTTACCCGGAATCCCACAATGGCTGGGGATCACATTGGTACCTCGGTGTGTCAGGTTAGAGAGGAGGAATTTACATTCCAATATAGCACTCGATAAATATTCATTCGTGCTTGTGACAGCAAGGATGGCTGCTTGGGAGTCGATGAAGAGAACAGCGCTTTGATCCCGCCTTCCAGACAATGTTCTTAAGGCTATGAGGATCGCCGCTATCTCACCGTCGAAATTTGTTCCATCTTTTCCCACCGCAGCGCTGATTTGGAATTCCTTGAGTAAACCCCTGCTCCAGCATTTTTAACGGCTGATTCAGCTGATCCGTCGGTATAGATATGGAGCCAATCTTGAGGAGGGTACTTTTGAGCTATGGTTTCTAATGCTAATGCTTTTAGCTCGTATTCAGGTGTTTTTTTCTTATCCACCTTATGAAGGAGTTGCAGTTCTGCATTGAATGCGTGATTGTGAATTGGTAACTGTGGATGTATAAATGGTTCCCTTTCTTCGCAGTCAAGCCCTCTTTCTTCAAGTAGTGCCATCGCCTTCAGCATGAAGGATTTTTGTGTCTTGAACCGTTGAGAGGGGATTTTGTATTTTTTCAAAACTCTTGGTCTATTCTTTTCATTCGCTCGTGAAGGCACATTGCAGCTCGCTCACGCCGTAAAACTAAAGCATTTCACACTCACAAATCCTTAGCGTGCCTCTACACTCGCGAGGTTCCGCCATCTCTCTCTTAACTCTCTTTTGTTTTTTCCTCCCAATCAGCTGTTAGCTGTTACGCTGACTTAAAAATAATACTTACAACTAATACTTAAAACTAAGACTTATTATAAACAATTACTTATTATTAAAACTAATACTAAATACTTAATTTTATATTTAACCCTCTTCGAGTTAATAAAAAAACTTATTATTATTTATAAAAACTAAAAATTATTTTACGAACTATTTTTTTTTTTTTTTTGTAATTCATTTTTCGTTACAATCCTTATAGGTTGTTACTAATTCTACATTCTGAAGATTTCATCAGCTTATTGCATTTTTAAAATATTTTAAAGACATCGTATCATAGTACTCACCTTTCTCATGGCTAAGTAATCCAATCCATCGGAGCAGTTAAACACGATGCACTGTACAGCTATAGCTTTTGCTAAATCTTTTGTAGTCTCAGTTTTGCCCGTTCCGGCCGGGCCTTCAGGCGCACCATTTAAATTAAGACTGTAGGCGCCGATGAGCGTACGGTAGCACCTATCGGTAAGCGGTGTTATGACGAGCCTCGTTGTATTTCCGAGGTACTCGTAAGCGTAATTCACCGCAGCGTTGATGATACATACACGTACGTCTTTCCTTTTTGTTTTCTTGTCCGAAACGCTGAGGTAATATCTGAAATTAAAACAGTTCATAAGCCTAATTTTCAATCATAATACATTATAAAAGGTAGTAAAACAGAAGTAAATGTAAAAATATAATAATAATAATAATATAAGCTATATTGCACATTCTTAATAGAACATAAAACCTCTCCTTTTATAGAGGTAAGAGTCTGGATTTAACAAAAAAATAAAAGTTAAATAATTTACAAATTTCTTCTTCAGAATTATTCAAACTTGTTAAAACATAGCTAAGTTTCAAAATAAGGGCCCTCTTTGGTCGAGCGAGTTGAGGCGCTTACAAAATTTTACTTTCACTTACCTTTATAGACAGATAGAAAATAAGCTTTATTCTGGGACCAGGTCCCTTATGAATAACAATTATGAACAAAAAAATATAAACCACATCTGGCCAAAAATTACACTAATCAAGATTAAAGAATATATACAGTATCTTCAGTCAAAGTATATTAAAACAAATAAGAATAACACCAGTTTGAAAAGAAGAAAAAAAAACATTATTTAAATGAAAAGAAAAGCAGAAATCAGATAAAAATAAATAACAAAATAATAAAAGCATGGATTGATTTTTAAAATTAAAACTCAAACAATTTCAAAAACCATCCACCTCAGTCAAAATATGTTTCAAAAAATTTATTTCATTGTACAACGTCATTTTCGGATGTGAGAAGGAATTGTTAGAGATGATATTTAAATGAGAACAACAAGGAAGAGGCATGGAGGATATCAGATGGCGAGGAATTCAAGAAGGCAGTGGATCGGGCATTAAAGGAATATTCAAATGTCTTAGTTCTATGGGAAGGGATATAAAGGTCGGAAACACGGGATCTTGTATTCTGTATATATATCTGCATATATATATATATATATATATATATATATATATATATATATATATTATATATATATATATATATATATATATATATATATATATGTGTGTGTGTGTGTGTGTGTGTGTGTAATATATAGTAAGGGTAAGTATTGCGATCGCGAACATTATTTAATCTGAGTTTTCAACGGAAATACACGTTTTGAGGTCACCTGGGTCCAAATAACCAAGTCCCGAAAAATGGTCTCTGTGTGTGTGTGTATTAACAGTCTAGTTCAAAAACGAAAAGTCGTACGGAACTGTAATGACATATTTAAGGTTTTTATATGCTATGGATGTTACAGCAACTTTTTCGTCAAAATCGCCTTACCGATAGTGGCACTTTATTTGATACACTAAACACATTTTTACGATTATCTCCAAAACCGCTCTAACGATTTTGATTAAATTCATCATATCAGTGTAAAATTAAGCAGTTTTAAATAAAATGTGGTTATTATTTTGATTGATGTTCACTAATTTGGCTCAAATGGCTAATTATTAATATTAGCTTCCTCTAAAGTAAGTATTTTTTTTTATTTGAAACAATTGAAGATTTCACATTAATTTGTAATATGAAAAATGGTTAAATATAAAATATGAAAGGATTTGATAATTAACTAAAAGAGAAATAAGAGATCGTAACGGAGAATAATTGTAATTGAGGAACCAAGGAAGACGAGCGCACCCAATCCCGAAAGATTAGAACTCGCTTCCATACGTATCATGGGGTTAATATAATCTCATTAATATAACGGATTCCGACAATTTTATATAAATATACATATGTGGCTTTCATAAATGCTATTGTTGGTATTATTTAATATTTAATTGTATATATTACAGCGATATAAATATGAAAACTTGTATATATGAGAGTACTTAATACATTTTATAGTTGATCATTGCAAAAGTTTCATGGAAAACTAAGCGGTGATCACACCAAAAGGGATGGATCGCTATCGTCTAGCCTCAAAAGGAGAAACAATAAACGCAATAAAATTAAATTAACGCTAGTGTGGAAAGCAATTTTTAGTGTTTCCTTCTCTCAGGAATGTAGCAGATAATTGCAAATGATTCTTTTTATAGTATCTAAACACGCCAGAACGTACATAATAAATAACCTAACCAATAATAGTTAAAAACAGTATAGACCAAAATCATAAGTTTTTATTGAAAAGTGATTAGCGAAGTAAAAAAGACCCTAAGAAGGTCTACGTTATGACATTCATCTTCATTCAAGAAAGTTGGTCTAAGAAACGAAAGCATGGACCAGGATCTTCAAACGGACTCCTGATATACTTAACCCCTGATATACGAAACCTGCCTCGGATATATTTATACACTTATAAAGGGGATATCGAATATACTTATATACCACTACAAGAAGGTGATACTTATCAAAAAATATAAGAACCGTGTCTGAGGGTTCTTGCCAATAAGAGCATGAACACTTTGTATATAATTCTAACATTTTTTTTAAATTATTATTTTCTGGCTTTGTTCGCCTCGGATTTCTAGGTTATGATACATCATTCGATTTTTATTTTTAAGTAAAATAAAACAAGAATATTGCTGATGACATTAAACCAATTAAATGTACAAGAAATTACGAAAACCAAAAGATGCTTCTAGTGAAGTTGTCCAAGTATATTTTAGTAATGATAAACCAATTCAGATTCATTTCTAGCGTCGATTAAAACTCTTAATCGACGCTAATTCTTTTGAAATTAAAAAATATAGATTTTTGGACTTTCAACTTAGCCTCGGAAAAGATGATAAGTACATCACGCAAAGATGGAAAATTTCTCATACGGAATGAAACACAAAATCCTGGCATAAGCGGATGATATAGTCATTTTTGGAAACAATCAAGATGACAAAGAAGGAACAAAAAAAAACTTCTAAAGCAGACTCTACAGCTTTCAGTCATGACTGATAGTCACAAGACTGACAAGAATCGCTTCAATCATGATATAATAAATCCTACACGTACCAATCAGACTGATGCCATTTTAGCTCAGTTGGCATTGAGATGAGAGACAGTTGGATTTTGTGCATTGTCGAATAATCTAATGTGTTTAATTGAACAAGCTTATTTGGTCATTATCCTTAATAACATTGGGTATAAATATAAAAGTGGAGATGTAATAATTATTTCACAGTGCCTGAAAATAGTTTTGACTAAAGTTAAAAAAAATACAAGTCAACTACTTACATAAATTAAAGAAATAACATTGCGAAAATAATAAATTTATTGAGGAAAATTGAAAGAGACCTGGCAAATATACACAATAGTTAAAAAATATTTTTTCTATAAGTAAATTGTGTAGTTCTCCACTTTTTTTTGAAAAAATGTATTACCCACTTCATTATTAAAACAAAAATTAGTTGAAGATCGTTTATATAAAAATATAAACTAGAGATATGAAAAATTATTTATTCTAAATGAAAATCAGCAATGTGCAATGGTTATAAGATGGGGTGAACTAACCTACATGGTAGTAAGGTTAATACATTACCTTAACTGAGCAAGCCACTGGAAGTCGCTGCCACTAATTATACCGCTGTTACACAATTCCTCGGTTACATCTTTTGAATGGACGTCTAATACTACGAGGGCACTAAGTGTCACTCTCGTCAACGCAGGAAGGTCTCCTCTCACCAGCCTGATCACATGAGATAACTGTTTCTGTAACATTGAAATAAAAGGAAACGTCAGATTAATGTAAATTAATGAGGCAGCTGGCGTGCTAAAAATTAATATAAGATGAAGCAAAAACATACACGCTTCACAGTAGAAAATATTACAAGAATATATTATAGTTGAAATAAATGCCGAAAGTACTAGGAACATATTTCTTAAAAAAAAAAATATGGCTAATCAACTTTAAGATAGGCCAACTATACAATGATAGCCATTTATGCAACTGTTTGACCCAATTATATTGTATTCTATGTTACTTTGTGAAGTGATATTGTTTCATTATTGGATAACATATTTTAGGTAATCAGTTTTCATCCATAAGTTATATTTTATGAAGTAATTGCTATTTTCCTCTTCCGTTTCAAATGAATTCTCGTTAACTTTATATTCCTCGCCCGTTAAATTAATCTTAAAATGTTTTGTTGATTTGCTTCTGATCCTACATAACTGTACTGGGTGGTATCTATTATTATTAAGGATTCTTTAGCGAACCTTTTAACCCTGAGATGATGATGGATAGCAGTTAAATGCCAGTTGATTGGTGGACAGACAATGCACCACGAACTGATGCCATAAAACAATTTTCTCTACTCACAGCTGGGCAATATCACTGTTGGCAACTATAACCCTCCATCATCCTTAACTTCTCCCAATGGGCATCAGAATGAAGAAAGGCTGGCTTTTGCTGAACATCAGCAAGACAAATCCTATGGATGTTCCTAGCAATCCTGTCATGGTGAACTGGCCTCAAGAATTGATGAAGAGTTGAATACAGGAAGTGGTGTGAGATATGACGAGGATATTCCAAGCTTTGCGGTGCACGTGGCGAGCATGAGCAAATTTTCCCTTTCCTCCAACACATTTCTTACTGCTTCCACTACCATCGAGGTTACTGAAGAAACCAGTGACCATAGTCAGCTGAAGCCTGAAGTTAAACCTCTGAGAGGTATTCATTCATGGTATACCACTTCTTGGGGGTATTGTAAGATATATATAAATAAAAAGATAAAGTAATATAGTAGATAAGTAAAATAACATATTAGCCGAATCATAACAAAATAAATAAAACACATTCACACCTATGTACAATATTTACATTGGCCCAGAAGACTCTGAATCAAGCTTTGTCCCCCAATTGTTTAAGCCAAAGCAGGACCCCAGGAGATCCCAGTGCTTCTCTCCCAGCAGCGTCACTGGTATAGTAAGCCAGTGGAGACTATTGTAATAGTAACTGCTGATACATGAAAATAATCAAACAGGACGGGAAGATAAAAGTGATGGCTTTTTGGTGCTGAGAAACTAAGCTGCAGATTACGAACTGAGACACAGTTTATGTTCGTCTGCTGGTCTGTCATGAGGGCCTGGTCAGTAACCATAGTTCCAGATAACTTTGGTAACACTTTGAGTGTAGCTCTTATCTGATAAAACTCTCTTTGAAACAAGTCAACATTATAAAATTTGTTGTATATCTCGAACCACTTCTTTCTTCTTATTCCGAAACATTTTAAGTACTCCGTATACGTTATCTTAGGTCCTGCTACTTGTCTTTACTCTTCTAGAATGGCATACCTTATAATCACATTCCTTTCTATAGGGTACCCTTCTTTCTTGCTGTTTAGATTCCCTTCTTTCGATATTTGGATGATTAGACAAAAGTTTCTCAGATGGCCGTGTATATGAATGCATGACAGCTAAATTATTTTTCAACTGAGATGACTTGATATATCTGTATGAACATAATGGACAATTATACTCTATTTCATAATTTTTAATTGTCTTTACGTTGAGTTTTTATCTTATTTTCATTATCAGCTATATCAACCATTGAGCAATGCTCTTGAAAGATACTCGAGAGCCTTCTGATTCTTTGATAGAGATGAGTTTGATAAGAGAATTTAGTGCTCTATAGCTCATAAATTTGTTACTACAACGGTAACAGGAATATAATACAACTGGATATCCATATGAAGCCATTGCAAAACTATTGGATTAGAGATGCAAGACACGTGTACAGCTTCTGTAAGCTACCAAGTTCCCAACAGATTTTTCAAGAGCCGATTTCAGGATCTTCTAGCGGCTGTGGGAAATATCAAATTCTAGTCTTATCGTCCAAGACGTCACGAAGTCTTATTTAGCGAAAACAGGCAGAGATGGGCCCTTTCTATATAATCAGAGTAGCTGAAACCGAATATTTTAATTGAATAAAATAAAATACTAAGTGCGCTAGGTCTGTTTATTTTTAGACGTTGGTCCCATTTTATTATTTATTTTCAAATATTTAAAGCAGAATTTACAGCGGTTATAGTTTTTGACTAGGCTTATTTAACCACGTTTAAAAAGAGAACAGAACTTGAAATTAATACTCACAGGTAGGTGGTATATTATGTGACATCTTCTACTTGCATATTGTCAAAAGTAACAGATGTGATGTTTTATTTCATCCCTTATGACAACGTTAATTTTTTGTTTTAAGTGGATTTATTTCTAAGAAAGAGACTGAACAGAAAAGTGTTAGTTATAGTTATAGTTATAGTTATGTCTCCCCATGGAGAGGAGGGGATGGCTGGGACCTGGGTCCCAGAGTATCCGGCTGTGGGTTCGATTCCCACCTTGGTCGGTCACTTTTCATTTCTCTGCGGCCCGAAAAATGGATCGTGACATTCCCACTCTAGTAAGTACACGGCGGCAACCTCAAAGTAGCCGTCAGGGGTTGGTAAAAAAGGACCATGATAGGCCCACTTGCTGGACAAGTTTTCCCACCAATAATTGTAGCACTACCAGTACTTACCTCTAGAGGAGACTGCTAGAAAATGCGATATTCTTAGCATATTTAGTTATTTGTGTCGCATTTGACTGTTATTTCCACATTGCCATACAGATTCTTGAATAATCGGATCTTTTTTGGATTAATCCCTTGTTGATACGTCTTCAATTACAAATTACTTTATATGTGTGTGTATATGTGTATATATATATATATATATACACGCTGCCCGAGATTTCTTCTCCCCCTCCCCTCGGGTATGTGAGACTCGTCAGCCTACTACAGGCAACTCACGCCGCAGGGAGGTGAGTGACCCTGTGGTAGACATAGCTCCTGGTAATCCAGATTGCGGGTTGGCCATAGGGCTAATAACCCTATCCCGTAAAAAACACCATACTAGGAAACCAAAAATCAGCCTCGGAAAATCAGACTGTCTTAACATTGTAACGACTCCGGCTTTGTATAACGGACTCCATATCGGATCATGGAATGTTCGGAGCTTATACAGACCAGGAGCCGCCCAAACGGTAACGGATAAAGATCTACATGGTCTGTAGAGCCAACCAAAAAAAAAAAAAAAAAAAAAAAAAAAAAAAAAAAAAAAATATATATATATATATATATATATATATATATATATATATATTTTCAGCTATATACAATTATTTTATTCAGATATCCAGACATTTCTCACTGCACGCTTTCCATTCAAAAAATTCCTCCTCTCGGCAATCCTATTACAGCCATTCCCTCTGTTACATCTTCCACCCACATCTTTCTTGGCCGCTCCCTATTTTTTCTATAGTCTGACTTGTTTAGAATAAGTTAGAACATTTCGTCTCCCATCCCCATAACGTTGCCAAAAACAAAGATAAGCCTCCTGGTAGTTTCTTGACCTATAATTTTTCTAAGAATCTCATTAGACACGCTGAAACCTTCAGAAGTAAAATCGTCTTCTTAGCCAATCGTGATAGCGTGATTTGTAACCATAACTCCACTCATGCTTCGTTATTATTTTAAAACGGTTTATAAACTACTAAAATGGCTAATCAAAAGCTCTGTATGGTATATACTTGTTTTTCATTACTGTCAATTGCCTATTTATCATTAATATATGAAATAAAGCTAGTTACAACATGTTGTAGTAGATGATCGAATAAATACCTTTAAGCATTTATTGTATCGTTTTAATACTCGCAGCTGTCCGGTTGCAAAGCATTTATGCATTTCATTGGTCCATTTGATCTGGGTGACGCAGAGCACAACTTGCCCAGGAAACATTTGGACCCATTTTTTTCTGTCTCTAATAGTGTATGTAGCATACGCCCAAAGAATATATTCTCTCACGGAGAGTTTCATCATTTCTTCAACCTGCAAAAATTAATTACGAAAATAAGTTAAACTGGTTTTGCAAAAAATTTACTTAAATATGAATTCCATGAATGACTGACGAAAGGCTAAGGTTATTTTGGCACTGGTCTTAAGAACATTTTCTTTTTTCTATTCATGAAAATTATAACTGTATACAAATAAATAAATAAATATACATATAGTAAATGTGATACCGAGAAATACAATGGCCCGAAAAGATTTAGAGAAACCATCCACTGGTAGCACTATAATAAAGCATCTAAATTAGGGAATCACGAGACCATCTTCTTTTCAGACGTCTCGGGACGTTATCAGGGATCGAAGAGAAAGTAAGGTTAGAAACGAGAGGATTAGGATGGTTCTGAAGTTTATTATGGAAGGATAGGTATTTGGATTATTGTGACAATTCGGAAACATATGGAATATTTAGATCATTATGGATGATTTTATTTGTACCAAAGTAAGGAGCATTGAGGATTTTACGAAAGATTTTGAATTGTAAGGATTATATATGAGAGGAATTCGATGATTTAGTGAAGCACCAATTCCGTATGTCCAAACAGGCCTTATTATATTCAGGTATATGATTATTTTGTAATTAATTGTAAACTCAGATCGTTTGTCCTAGTAAGTGTTGAAGTAGTCGGAAACGTCGGGCGGTTTCTTGACGTATCAGTCTGGGATGATGATTTCAAGTTAAAGGTTTGTCCAGGTGGAGTCCTAGGTATCGGATTTGTTCAACAGGGATAAGTGAGGTATTGTAAAGTAGTAGTTGATCAGATAGTTGGTAAGGGTAAAGGCGATTAGTTAGGATTTATCATACATATTTTAAAGTTAACAATTACGAATATCATATTTCTATGGGATTCTACCAGAGAAACGTAAATAATATATATTATTTCATTTTCCTTTTTTTTTTTTTTTTTTTTTAATATTATCGTATCTGGTTCAATTATTTGTTAGAGATTAATAATATTAGATAAGGTGATTTGATGGGATTTATTGGAATTGATTTTAATTATCCAATTTTGACATCATTCCTCAAGACATGTGATGTGTGATTGAAGAATTTTGGATCCTCCGACTACTCCAACACTTACTAGACAAACGCTCTAAACTTTCAATTAATTAAAAAAGTAGATTATAAATTAGACTCATCTACATAGCTATAATAAGACCTATATGGGCATACGGAGTTGAGCTTTGGGGCTCCACCAAACCATCGAATTCCTTTCGTATCCAATCCTTAGAATACAAAATTCTTCGTAAAATCCTTAATGCCCCATATTTTGTCACAAATAAAACCATTCATGAAGACCTTGATGTTACATATATCACTGATTTAGACTGAGCCAGATACCTATCCTTTCATAATAAACTCGAGTCCCATCCGAATCCACTTGTTTCCAGACTTGTTTCTTCCTCGATTCCTGATAGGATGGATCGTTATTAGCTGATAGGATACACGTCTCATAGGCATAGGTGGTGATGACAGTATTGGGGTGGATTGGGATGTCTACTGTATAAACTTTAAGGACATAATTAAATTAAAATTTAATTAAATTGCATTAAAATATTTGTTTTGAATTAATATTATATTAGTAATTTCTCTATTATAATTTTCTTCAGATAAAGGATAATCCTCAGCTCTTTGTTTCTCGGTTGAGTAGAAAATACGTTCAACTGAGGAATGATTCTAGCAACACGGTGTATCCCTAGAAGATTTGCGACTTGGTTTGGGAGAAACGAAAGCTGAAATTCGGCGGTTTTTGTTGGTACCTAAATGGCAAACACAATTTTTATCACAAACAATACACCATAAACGTTTTCGGATCAGTGCGATACCTCGCAATATTTTATCTTCAATTTCTCTTAAGTCGATGAACAAATCTTTGAGGGATACATCTTCTTGCTACAATCCTCAAAGATTGTCATCATTTCTCAACTGAACATATTTCCTACTCTATCAAAAAGCAAAGCGCTGAAGATGATCGTTGATGATAAAAAACTACAATAGAGAAAAGGATTATACTCTCCTGGTCGGAATCAAAAACTGGCATTGTTAATGAGTCAAAAGTGTTTTTGACTCTTTTTTCTCGTGTACAGCAAATACAACAAAATCAATATGCTAAGCCCCAAAAAAATATATATTTTTTACATATTCTATTACTGTTGGGATATGTGAATAACAGTTATGAGGTTATGTTGATAACACATTTATTTTTTTTAGTCGGCCTATGACTCCCACTGAAGTCCTATACATATATAACATCTGGAGAGATCTCAACTCTAGTAGAATACCAAAGGATAAACTACATATATTAAAAAACTTGGCTTGCTAACTGATATGTTGGATGATGCTACGTTTCTAGACATCAAAGAATAGCATTGCACCTATTATTAATTTTAATACTTGCACCACGTATCATTCTTTTCATATGTACTATCGTTTGCAAGAAGATCTGATCATTTTTAGGGGGAGAGGGGTGGTGTCGAAGGGGGTGTACTTTATAAACTTTATTTATCCCATCAAAATTGTGTAACGTATAATAGTACATGGTACAGACCCCTTCTTTTATCAAATTATTAACATCCGGCTGAAACTTGGTAAATATCTTCATCTCATCATAACCTACAAATATTTTGTTAATGAAAACATTTGGAATTGGGGCGTTTTCAATCTGGAGGTAGGCAAATTTTGTCTATTTAATTAGGTACTAAAAATTCGTAGATACCCACTTGCTTTATACTTGAATCGTAAGATAAATTGAGCACAAAGTCGGCAAGAAAGGTGGCCTTAAAAATTATTGAGCCGTTTGGGGTGACCTACACCCACAAATTGTCAAAATAACGAGGTTATATAGGCCAAACAACCCAATATTTTTGTAGGCCACATTTTTATCGATTTTGTGATAAAATTATCTTACGATCCAAGAGGAAAGCAAATGGGTATTTACGAGTTTTTAGTACCTAATTAAATAGACAAAGTTTGCCGACCTCCATATTGAAAACGCCCCAATTCCGAGAATTTTCGCAAATAAAATATTTGTAGGTTACGATGAGATGAAGCTATTTACGAATTTTCAGCCAGATATTAATAATTTGTTAAAACGGTGTCTGTACCACGGACTATAAGTCTTTTAAATTCTGTCGCATATTGAATTTTCGATGTTCTTTCTTTCATATGTATACATCACAATGTCTCTAAATTTGTAAAATACATTGTTGCTTCTCTCCTTTCTCAGGGGGGGGGGGGTTCTGTGGACTATCTGCTATTATTATTAATTAGTAAAATTCCTAATTTCTCAGCATTTTCCGGTAAAAGCACATAACCCAGACCTACGTCAAGGCTAAAGCTAATATTTATTTATTTATATTTATTCCGTAATATTGATGAATTTTCTAACGATGGTCACAGTTCTGAGTAACAACGCTTTCTGCTTTTGTTGCAAGCATTTAATTGAGAGATCCAAGTCCTGCTTTGAGTTCATTGTTGTATCCAGAATCAAAACGTTACCAGAAATTACCAATGTCAAAATCCTCACTGTATCAAGTATATATAACTGTTTCAGTTCCTCACCAAGAATCTTACAGTTGCGATTTCCTCCTTACGAAAATTCGAACTATACGATAACTTCCACCTTATGAAGATTATCATGCGATGGTACTCCGATTTCGATAATTTTTACATGCTGCTCTTGTTTTAAAATAAATTAAATATCTGGCCTGTTGTGAGGAATGATGTGGTCCATTATAATGGCTTGGCCCCAGTAAAACTTGACTTGCTGTACGAGTATGTCGATAACTGGCACTGGGCTATGCTTTTAGTAAGGACAAGTGTCGTATGTGATTCCAAATTTCTTAGCTACGTTGTTGTTTCTAAGAAGATATTAGTTTCCTACAAGCACTCGACATCCTGATATCACTGCTTCTTCATAATATTAATAATAATAATAATTATTGTTATTATTATTATTATTACATGTGGTGTTAAATGTTGTTACTAAAGTGTGATATAATACTCCACTCATAATCAATATATTTAATATTATTTAACTCTAGAAAAACATAAAAGTTTTCTTATTCTCACTTACCCAAACGAGCCATTTTTCAACGTTTCCTCCGGCTTTTCGTGTCTTTACGTATTTAACCATTTTAACTTCTTCTTGCTCAGCTGAATTCATGGCCCAGACACGTCTGTATTTATCGAAACTGAGCTTCGCTATACCTTCGAAGCATTTCGATAGATGACGTTGCACTCTAGCTGGGTCTTTGGTTTCGGACAATATTTCTAGCATGTCATCGTTTGAGAGGAAAAAGAACCTAAAAAAAAGTATAATCATGTTCATTATACAAAAAAAAATCTAATAATAATAATACATATATATATATATATATATATATATATATATATATATATATATATATATATATATATATATATAAAATATTGTATACTATGCTCATACTTATTGTTAATCCTATGTAATCATATATTATTTTAGAAATTGTCTGTAGTGAATAATAAGTATTTTTTTTATTATTTTTTTTTTTTATTGAATAATAATACAATCAGCCACTGTTGGAGGGCTATAAGTATTAAGGCTAGAAGTTCTCATTCATACAGTATATACAAGTAATACAGAAGTAACTATAAATATAAGAAGTAAATAAATAATACTTATAAAAAAAAGTAAATCAATAGGAAAAAAAATAAATTAATAAATAAAATTAAAAAAAAATAAATAAACAAACAAAATAAAATAACAACTTCTAAACACATTCATACCTATATACAATATATACATTCGCCCAGGAATCTCCGAGCCAGGCTTCTCTCCCCACATGTGGAAAGCAAAGCAGGACTCCAGAGATCCCAGTGCCACTTTTCCAGCCGCATCACTAGTATTAAAAGCCAGTGGAGGCTGAAGGAGGGCACTAGAGCCACAGATGCTCAGGACTTGAGTGGAGAAGCTGGCCATTGCCAGGACTCCAGAAGCATATTTACAATAGATCTCGCGGCCACTGCCGTTTTAACCTTCGAGGGGGATTGTAGGGATGGTGGGAGCTGGATAGGGATTGAGCTAGAGGATTTGGATGATGGATAAGGTTCTGGTGAAAGTTTGAGAATCTGGATGGGATGATGTCGAGGACAAATGGGATGTTAAGGTCATGGTGTAGGGTCTTATTTGTGACATAATATGGGGCATTGACTATTGTTCTAAGTACTTTGGACTGGAAGGATTGGATGCGTTTGATATTCGAATGTTTAGCAGTTCCCCACAGTTCAAGTCCGTAGGTCCAGATAGGTTTCAGTATTGTCTTGTAGATTAAAAGTTTATTTTCAATCGAAAGATGAGATGTCCTGCTTAGTAGTCTATATAGCTGGCCATATCGTTGGTTAAGTTCTTGTCTTTTAAGTCTTGTATGTGGGTTCCAAGTTAGTCTTTTGTCTAGAAGGAAGCCAAGGTAACGGACTGTATCTGAGTAGGGAAGTGGTATTGAATTGAAAAGGATTGTGGGACAGGATCTGCGTCGCAGGGTGAAAGTAATATGTTTGCATTTTGCTTCATTGATTTTGATGCGCCAGTTGTTGCACCATTGTTCAATCAAGGAGAGGTGAGATTGTAGGTTTAGAGATGCTATTTGAGGATCTGAGTGGGAAGATAGAATGGCAGTATCATCAGCAAATGTAGCTAGGTAGGTATCGGGATTTGAAGGGATATCGGCAGTGAAAAGGATGTAGAGAACTGGACCCAAAACACTGCCTTGTGGAACACCAGCCTCAACTGGATAGTAAGTGGAGAATTCGGTGCAGCAACGGACTTGGAAGGAACGATTTGAGAGATAGGATTTGAGGACTAGGTATAAGGATTGGGGTAAATGGGTTTTGAGCTTGAAAAGCAAGCCATCGTGCCACACCCGGTCGAAAGCTTGCGCTACGTCCAGAAAGGCACCAGTGCAATATTGCTTGTTTTCAAGTGCAGAGGATATATGGTCCACAACACGAAGGCCTTGTTGGACAGTGGAATGTCTTGAGCGGAATCCAAATTGATGAGAAGGGATGTTGTGGGATTCGAGTATGGGTAGGATGCGTTTGAGGAGGATTTTCTCAAAGATTTTTGAGAGGATAGGGAGTAAGCTTATCGGTCTGTAGGATGATGTGTTATTAACGGGTTTGCCTGGTTTTGGAAACAGCACGATTATGGAATGTTTCCACACCAAAGGAAAGTTGGTTGTGCGAAGGATGCAGTTGTATAGATAGGTAAGGAATATGATTGCTTTTTTGGGAAGTTGTCTGAGGATTTGTGAAGTGAGGAGATCATATCCAGGGGATTTTCGGGGTTTTAATTTGTTTATGAGGAATTTTACCTCAGAGGGGTTAACAGGTTTTGGAGGTAGAGAGAGAGGAATTGGTGAAGAGAGAAATTCTTTAACTTCAGCAGTGTGGGTGGGATGGAGTTCGGGATGAGGAGTGAATGTGTAGGATAGATGTTTAGCAAACTCTTCAGCTCTATTCGCATCTGACGAAGCCCAGGAACCATCATCACGGCGGAGGGGGTGGGAAATGGATTGGAATTTAAGGATTTTTTTAGTTACAGCCCAGAGGGAGTTATCACTAGATGATAATGAGGAAAGGTAGGAATTGTAGGATTGGGTTCTAAAGATATCCAGTTTCTTTTTAACCTGTTTGGAATAATAATTATACGATTTCCGGTCATCAGGATTCCTGGTTCTTTGCCAGAGGGCCCTAGAGCATCGTTTGCTATGGATAAGGTCCAATAGGTCTTGGGGTAGAGGATTTATACTGAGGTGTTTTTTGGGACGATCAGGTGAGGATGCAGTCCAAACTGCTTGCTGGATCAGGGTAGTGAAGGAGTCCACTGCATCGTCAAGGTCTTCAGGTGTTTTTAAGGAAACTCTGAGGTCTATATTATCATCCAATATTTGACGGAAAAGGTTCCAGTTAACTGGTCCCCTGATGAATGAAGGAGGGGATGATTTAGGAATGGGTGATGTGGAAACGGTTAGGACTATAGGACTGTGGTCTGAGGAAAGATCATCAAGCCTTGAAATGGAACAGTGTAATGATCCTAGACCTTTGTGTAGGAAAAAGTCTAGAAGGTCGGGATTGCGGTTGGGATCTGTTGGCCAGTATGTGGGAGTATTAGGTGAAAGGATATTGCTGCGATGGGAATTAAGTGCAGATAGCAATGTTCGCCCTCGGGAATTTGTGGATCTGGCTCCCCATTGCTGGTGTTTTGCATTTAAATCTGCACCTAGGATGAAATGGTGTCCTAAGGAATTCAGGAAGGAAATTATTTGGGATTCGGAAATGGGTATTTTAGGCGGGGAATATGCCGCAACTAATGTTATTGGGTAAAGGGAAGTTTGGATTATTACGGCAGTGGATTGAAGGAAATTATGGGTTGGTAAGGGAAATAAATGATGGGAGAGAGATCGGTGGATAATTATAGCAGTGCCAGCATGTGCTGTTCCATCAGGATGATCGGTTCTATAAATATTGTAGCCAGGAAGTTGATTTGTCGTTTGTTGGTTAGTCGGGTTTCAGTTATTAGTGCTATGTCGATGTTTTTGTCATGTAATAAGATTGTCAGTTCGTTGATGTGATTTCGAATACCATTCGCATTCCATAGGAGAATGGAGAGGGATTTGGTTGAGGACATTTATGGATTTCTCGGCGGTGGAATGAGGTTGGATATAACATTGGTAAGTAATGAAATAAGAGGGGTGATGAGGGATCTAAATTCAGAGAGGAAAGAAGTTAATAGGCTTGTGAGGTCAGTGGAATTGGAAGGAGGAGGAATGTATGTCTGGGTATTGAACCTAGGTTCAGGGATGGGTGGATATGGGTCTTGAGGTTGATGTGTGAATTCTCGAGGTTGAGGTTCTTGTGGCAGGGCCTGAGATTGAGTGTTTATAGTGTCTCCTTTGAACATCTGAGCATAGGTCACTCTTCCGTTCACTGTTCTAGAGGGTTGTCTTGGTGGTCTGGATGTCCCTTCTTCTCTAGGAGTTGCGTACATTCTTGTTTTTAATTCTTTATATGTTTGACAACCCTTGTAGTTGGCAGGGTGCCCTTGGTGGCATAAGGCGCATACTGCAGGTGAAGTTCTAGACTTCCTACATTCTTCTGTTTTGTGTTGCTCACCACACCTCACACATCTAGGAATGTGATGACAATATCTTTTCGTATGGCCATAAGCCTGACAGTTATGGCATTGAACGATGTCGCGCTTGGTGTAAGGCTTTTCTACTACAACGCTGGTGTAATAAAGGCGTGTGACCTTGTAGATGTCTTCGACCTGGGGCGTACGGTCAAGGTCAACGAAGAATAGTGGGAGCGGTATTTTACTTTTTATTCCAGGCTGTTCTCTATCCTCCTTGAATATGTTCACTATCTGGCGAACATGGAATCCCATACCCACGAGCTCTTCTTTTATAGCATCTGTTGGCGTAGATGGGTGCAGTCTTCTGATAACGACCCTGAGCGCCCTCTCTTGACGCAATTGATACGTGTGGTAATCAGCCTTGGTGTCAGATAAATATTTTATAATTTTTCTGTATGTTTCTGGAGTGTCGGGCATTAATTTAGTGTCATTGGTGCGGCTTTGGCATAAATATTTTCCTGAGCCCACTAGGTTATTCAATTGGTGACACATTAACTGAAAGTTTTTAATATTCCTAAGGAATATTGGTGGGGGTTTGGGTTCCCTGGGGGTGGGTGCTGCTTCCATTTCTTCGTTTTGTGTATTTGATAGCACTTGAAATGGGTTCTGAGTGAAAAACGGCGATTCTTCACCAGTCTGAGTTGTCTCATGATTGTTTTGTTGTTGTGAGGTACCAGGTTGGGGATCCACTTCTTCAACAGAGCTCCCTGGTGTGGCTGGTGGAGTATTTCTTTTCGAACGTCTTGTTCTTTTTTTAATAGGAGAACTCATTGTAGTATCGAGGCTTCTGGACCTAGTATTTTTACCCTTGCTCGACATTAGCATATGATAATATCGCATTTCATATTATAAATGATAGGAAAAATTGTTAAATGAGAAGCGATAACAATTTTTTTTTTTTTTTTTAAGCACGGAAATATATACGCGTGCTTAGAGAGGACTAATCGGCACAGAACCTCCTCGGACGGAGAGCCAGAGCCCACTGGTGGGATTAGCGATGTTATGGCCGGCCGTTATCAGTAACTAACCAGAGGTTTATTTACACTGTTCACTATTGAGCTGTAAATAAGTGATTACTCACCTTATTCTTTTGTTCAGTAACAAACTTAATTGTTAATATAACAGGTAACACTGTTGTTTCGCATTGAAGTTGAACACTGCCACTATTAATGAAGAATTTTGTAAGAGACGACCTGACGTATGTTTAACTTAGGCTAACGCATGCGCAGAACTCGAATAATAAGTATGCTGTATTTTTAGCAACCCAATGTAATTGGGCAGCACAATTTTATGATAATAAAATCTCTCTCTTAAACAAATGATATTTTTTTCAGTAGGTGTCCATAACGAACATTATATATATATATATATATATATATATATATATATATATATATATATATATATATATATACATTTTTTTTTTTATTTCGACCATATTCATTATGAAACGGAATCATAAGCACGGAACAAGTGTAATATTTTTAGGTAAAATAAATTATGTAACTATAAAAAAATTACGGTAAGAATATTATACATTATATATAGATAAGAAGCCTTATTTCACATAAATTTAAACTTTCTTTCTAAAAATTAAATAATAAAACTTTTATTGGCATAGTAGAGAACCGAGAGCTGCCCCAAAAATGTTTATAAAACATATAAATAAAAACATAAGATAACCTTTTGTTAATGATATATATAATCTAAATAATCTTTAAATTAACAAAACAATAAGAAATAAATAATTTTTGTTGAATATGCTTGATTTTATACTTATATTTCATTTGTTTGCATATAAATGAAGAATGTTATGTATTGTATTCGTGAATTAAGAAGAATCTATATTTATAAGCAGATAATATTATTATTCCTTCGATAGTTTGTTAGGTTAATATTTTCTACTTTTTGAAAACTAAAGCCTTCTGACATTAAAGACAATATAATTCCAAATGCACTAGTACCTTTTGCTCTACCATATCTAGGCTCTTTTGAAGAACTAATCCAATTCAATTTTTAGCCATTATAAAACTTTTCATATAGAAAAAAAACATCATATTCATAAATAAAACTAAATAAATTTAACTTATCTACTTTGTTATTTTATTGCTGCAATATTATAACCATGGTTTGAAATCGATAATTAAAAAAATAAAAATAAAATTTGATCAAAATTTTCATCTTGAATTTTTTTAAATCATTATTTATTTTTGATTATAAGTGATAAAAATCATATCCTATTCGTTATTTTTTAACACAATTTTTACATTTAACACTAATAATAATTCAGAAATATATTAAAAATGTGTACATTAATAAGGTATACATACATATTATTATTTTATTTAATTTATGTGAAAACAGTGATTTTTATTTTTTGATCAAAATTTTTTCGTTCACAATTTAATCATTATTATTTATATAGAGTGTGAGTGTGCTCTCTGAACACTGTTATAAATGTCCTTAATTGTGACAGCTTGTAATAATTCTGAATAAATAAGTTTATAAAAAAGTATTTATATAGAACCGAGTGAGTGATCATTATTTTTAATCTAATAAATACAATATTTTTAAATGAAAAATACATTATAATTATTATTACCTGCTTTTGGGGGGAAAATAATTATCGATATCAAACCCTGTTTATCACATATTTAATAGATAGATAGATAGATAGATAGATATTTTATTTGTTTTAAGCGGGTTCCCCATACAAATAGAGCCTAGCTTGGCTATCGTACAATAAGATGGTTTTACAAATTTACATACATATAATTCAAATTTACAATATTTAACGTTTAGAATGGTTTTCGCAAAACATGAATAGTAATAAAAATTAAAAACATAAAACGATTACTGCATAATATTGATTATATAAACCAGTTACTATGATAGAAACAATACAAAATAAAAATATTTATAAATATAAACAAAATATTACTCTTAAGATAAACTAAAAACAAACGCTTAATACAACATGGCTATGATCAACAATTTTGTGTATGCACTTTGTGAACTCCCATCATAAAATAGTAAACTTTATTTGATTTATCTATACAATCGATATTCAGTATGGAATCGACGTTGCGGTTATCAGAAGATTCTGAGATGAAGTTTTGAAGGAATTTTTGTCTATAGTCATTGTATGCTGGGCAGTGAAGGAGAATGTGATGTAGACTATTGTGGATAAATTGACTACATAATTTTTTTTTTTTTAATTTCTTTATTGAGTATTATAACAATCTGTCTGTTGGACATTGGTTATAGTGAGGTAGGATGACATTCACACCATATGTACAAAAAAATAAAATAAATAGAACAAAATAATAATCAAAAAGACTACATAATATACAAATTTCTTGAGACTCAATCGAAAAAGTTGTGGTTTTTGCATAAATTCTGATTTGTTCTGGGTTCGCAACTCTTAATTGACAGACACATCTCAATTTCTTTATGTGGACTTTGAATATAAGATACGTTTCAGGATCGGGAGCATTGTAACTGCATAGCATTCTGTATAAAGGGTAGATAGTGGAGTTCAAAAGTTCTTTGTATGTCGGCTGAGAAATAATAGATAGGCTGATAGAATAACAGGCTGAGAAGTGTGCTTTTTCAAGGAAGTCATCTTTGTATCGAAGAAGTCCGTTTGTGTGGTGAATAGAAAGCTCTTCTGCAAAGGCATTAAGTTCGGCTATTGCTCTAAATTGAGACACCCAATTGAAGTCTATGTCAGGCTTTTCCTTATCTAATGTTTTAAGTCTATTAAAACAAAGTTTTGGGAGTCGCTCTTCTGGCATGAACTCGAGCTTGGTCCATAGATTTATCATCTTTTTTATTACTTTCATTCTTACTGGTTCTCTTCCTGTTTCGAGGCGGACTATGTAGTTTGGGGTATTTCTGAGCCAACCAAACAGTTCCTTTAAATATTTAAGTGGGACCGTTTCAATTGCCTCAAAATAATTGGGGCTCCATATTTCAGAAGCATAAAGCAATGTTGATGAGACCATGGAGTCAAATAACAATTTTTTACTTTCCCAAGAGTCACTTTTCCGTTTTTTTAATATATCTATGATCTCGCAGATGCCACTGATGACTTCTGAGTAAAATTTTCACATGCTTGTTTAAATTTTCCTGACGTTGTGAAGAGAACTCCCAAATAAGTATACCTTTTTGTATAGTCCAATATACTGTCATGCCAATACAATGGTTTGAGCTGTTTAAGCCGTGGAGATTTGTGGAAAACAAGAGTTTTAGATTTGTCTACATTTAATGTAAGAGAATTGTTGCTGCAATATTCTTGTAATATTTTGATATTCTTTTGCGCTCCATGCCAATTATTACTTAAGATAATAATATCATCAGCTAGAAGGAGCATTGTTACCTCGTGTGAGGTATCTATGCTTACCCCTGCTGCTCCTTTGTCATGAAAGTATTTAACTATGTCGGAGATAAACAACAAAAACAAGGTTGGGCTCAGACTTCCACCTTGTAAAAGTCCTAAGGTGATGTCAATATCATCCGAATGTTGTCCATTAACTGAAATTTGGGTTGAAGCATTGTCGTACAACATTTTAATAATTTTTATGATTTTTCCTCCAACTCCTAAGGTAATAAGCTTTCTCCAAAGAAGTCCATGATTAATTGAATCGAAAGATTTTTTGAGGTATTTGAAGGTGCCATATAGATATCTTCCTTCTGTCTTAAACGTTATTCCGATTAGCGCTGAGATGGTGAAGACATGATCAATGCAGCCTCTTCCGTTCCTGAATCCTGCTTGTTCTTCGGGTATTAGATTCTGAGAGTCCGCCATTATTCTCCTTGCAATGATGCCGGTAAATAATTTAGCCATCGTGTTCAGTAACGATATGCCTCTATAATTATCAATATCGCTTCAATTACCTTTTTTAAAAAGTAAGAAAAGTTTGGATTTAGACCACTGAGTAGATAATTTTTTTTGTTCAAGTACAGGATTGAATAAATGCAAAATGTAGTGCTCCCACTCTGGGGTGAGGTTTTTGAAGTTTTCATAAATTCATAAATTATAAGGTCCGATCCTGGAGATTTGTTGTTTTTAGAAAGATTAATACAAAGCTGCAGTTCCTCTTGTGTTATATTCGCTTCCAGAATTGAGTTGGTGGTGGGAATGAATTCTAAACTCCGAATGGTCTTCTGTCCATAATGTATCCTATAGAATTTGCTCCATTCCTCCATGGTTACTGCATTTTCATTTGGTTTGTATGGTTTCAAGGAATTGACAGTTTTCCAAAACTGTTTGCTATTTTTATATCCTGCAAATTTTTTATAATTTGAAATCTAAATTCTATTTTTCTTGTTCCTAATTAATGTTCTATAAAAATTCCTTGTTTGGATGTAGTCTTGTAACACTTCAGAAGGAAAATTTAATTTAATTAATGCTCTATATTTTCTTCTAACTTCCCTTTTCAGATTAATGCACTCTGAGTCAAGCCAGGGTTGATTAGGCTGAAACATTATATTCTTCGGTGGTTTTTTTATCACGAGCATGCCGGCAGAAGACATATTCTCCTGCAAGCATTCAACGAAATTCTTATAGAGCTGGTTTACATCATGCGAATTATAGTAAATTTTGTCACTGCAAGCTAAATTTGTTTTGAATAATATGCTTTGGTTCTCATCCCATTTCACTTGTTTTTTGGGTTCCATACCAATATAATTAAACGTTCGAGAATTCTGTAAGCTTACATGTGGTTTCACGGTAGTAGCACAAGCTAAATGGTCCAGAAAATCAGACATGGCTATAACTTCCATATCACCTAAAATCTCGAGTGCCACATCGTTGATCCACACTAGATCAATAGTGCCTTTACGAACGTTAGAAATAAATGTAAACTTTCCAGGTCTGTCAGAGAGGGTCATGCCGTTACATAGTGTGAGACCTAATGATTCCATCGCTGCCACTAATTCTTTTCCTCGCCTGTTAACATGTTTATGGCTGTTCGTCCTTGTAGCGTATAGATTTGAATTGTATAACAATCACATATTTAATATTGTAATACAATGCAACATTTTGTTTTTAAATTATCGTTTATAAGGACGAGGTTCGGTGTTTCTATTTTCTAAAGGGTAGAAAATAAAAACTATTTCATTGTATAGCGATTGACAAAGATGTATCTGTGTTTTGCGACGTTTAGTTGAAACTCATAATATCAAATTTAATTTAAAACCAAATCGGTTTGAAAATTACATGTCAAACATTGACAACCTTGGTATATTATAGAATGATAGCAGAATAGTCCTCTGTATAATTATTTATATGAGTACCACACGGGTTACGCGTGGTTCACAATCACTTCGATCACACTTGTTCATTAAACGCTGAAAACAGTGTATCGGATAAACCCGGATGAATTCGGCACCCGATGAACAAGTGTGACCAAAGTGATTGTGAACCACGCGTATCCCGTAACCTTATTAGCGATATAATCCAGGTTGGTTAGTGTCACAAATCAACAACTTTACATATCTAAACATTTCCTTCTCCCCGCTATAACAATATATTTGATAGGACCAGTTAACAATCATACCTTCACTATGGGGCACGTAAGACAACTTTATATTATACATTATAAAAAAATAGCTAAATAAAACGAAAAAAGTAAAATCTAAGCGCAACCTCACAAATGACTATAGAAAAGGAAAGAATCTGGCCACCACATAGTGGAATTCAATAATATATAAATATATTAGTTGCACTTCGTTTTGACTTTGTTTATTTTTTTATACACATTTTTTTATTATGTATAATGTTGTTTTCATATTTTTATACAATACTAATTAGCGACATATATATTGGCCCTAGAGGCACTGACTTTTGGTTTTTATTGAGGGGTGATGTACATAAAAAAAATATATATATATATGGCCGTAGTTTATATTATGAGTAAAAATTCAAGATAATTATTGGAAGATGAACAAATATAATATTAAATATTTTAAAATAAATTTATTTATGTTTTTATAGCTGTTTTATAGCTATATATACTATATGATATGGATATATTTGAAAATATCTGGACAAAACATTTAAATATATTACGTATTTGTATAATATATTACATTAAACACAAGAGGAGGGGGACGACAACCTCCATTATATTGGTACATTTATATAACGTTTTCAGCTAAAAATATACAATGTTAAAAACAAATATATTTTTGATTTCTTGGTTTGTACAACCTCAAATTAATAAAATCACACCTTTTTTACAGTGTGACTAGTTATGTAAATAAGTAAAAAAAAAAAAAACATTCATTTAAAATATATTTATACTTATTAATTTTTTTTATTTCAATTTGGCCGCGGTGTATGATAAGAATAGCAAGTTAAAATTGAGAGGTACACATGAAGGGTAATTGAATCATAAAATCCCAGGAAATATTCCAGTATATTATCATCTTTGAATAGAATAATAATATAATCAAAATTAAAATATGCATTTTATTAATAATTTTATTTTTTTTTTACTTCTAATTATTGGGGTGGGGGATTGTCCCCTCCACTCTTTCCACTCTTGAAGTCTGCGGCTATGATCTATCCATTCCTTAAACCTAAGATCCCAACCCACAAACTTACTTATTTCTTATCATGAACTCCTTCCTAGAAAAATCTTTAACATCAATCACTTATCCGCCTCAACTATCTTCTGCTTATATGAATTAGTTATTTAGTAATTATATGATATAGTTTTTTTATTACATAATAATGCCATTACAGATTGTTGTAATACTCAATAAAAAAAAAACTTGTTAAGTTAATAATGCCATTGAATACAATTCAATTTTGTTTTAATTAAAACTAAAATATTACAATACAAGCTCATTGATAATAAACAATTGTTATACCTGGCGAAATATAATCGCTTTTCCTCTAAATAAGCGTTGACTCCATCGGTCACTATATCCAATTGCTTCAATGCTTCGTTGATGCATTTCTCTCGAAATTTGTTTTCGGACATTAGTAGAACACTTGGGTTTTCTTTGACCATTTCGATGAGCTGTACGTACGATACGGTAATGTTCTGCAAAATTAAATTGAATTAGTAATCCATCTAATATTTATCATTCCATTCCTTAAAATTAATGTATATTGCAATCAATTATAATTTTGTACATATAAGTTTATGTTTTTAAGAAATTTAACTATATATGGATTACAGTGCCTTTGCGTAGAGATTTGTTTCTAAGTTACGTTAAAATTTACTGTCTTATGTCCATTCTTCCAAATCAATTATCGTTTCATAATAGTGGATTAATAGTTGACTGTCTTGAAAATAATGAAGAGGAGTTAATTGGGGTGAGCAGTCAAAAGTAAAAAAGTAAAAATAAATAAATTATAATATATTCTTATAATAAATAAATAAACTATATTATACTCTTGCGAAGGAGCCCTTCTTGAGAACTCAGCCCTGATGAAGACCTGAACCTTGGCCCGAAACGTCGACAAAAATACAAATAAATATAATTTATTTATTATTGCTTCTTTATTTTTGATTGCTTATCCCAACCAACTACTCTTCATTAATTATAGTTTTATATATATATATAATGCTTGTGGACTGAAGTTCCTCCAACATATTTAAATCCTGGATCCACAACAGCTGATGATTAGAGGTTAAACAATATTTGAAAAATTTCTCCATTTTTTTTTTAAATGGAAACATGTTTCTCAACTGATCTATACCTCGCCTCAAGAGCGATAACGCATTTATTAATTTTTTAATAAACTAAAAATAATCATTATTTTACATCAAAATACTTAGTCAAGATACCTTCTTAAGGGATGGTTAATTACACTTAATTCAAAATAAGCCTATTAGAAACTAACTTGGAGGTTTCTCATATTCCATTTAATTTCTAGTGTTTTCCGATAACTTTGAACAGATCTGGTTTATCGTCCTTTCCTATATCCAGCTTGAGACTGTTTTGAGACATTTTCATATTGAATGTCCACTTTTGGAAGATAATATTATTTCCTCAGCCTTAGGAGCAACAAGTCTTTGTAATCACTATATTTATAATTGAATAATTCTTCCATATATTACATTACATTAAAGTAATATTCGGTCTCTTTCACGTATCTGCATGATTCATGGATTAATTATTAAAAAAATTCTGTCTCAACCACCTTTCTTGTTATGCCTGCTGATAACAGTTTCTAAATCCATGTATGCGAATGTCGGTCCTATCTTATAGTTTCGGGGACAAGAATCCATTAAGAGATCTCTTATTTTTTGAGCCAATGGATACTTTACGTAGGGTACACACGTTGCTGTATACGGAGAGTTTTACCAACTGTTAACCTCAGCATGTGTACCACTCGTACGATTAATGAACCTACATCAAGCGTCCAAAACTGCAAATGCAAGGCAGGGAGAATCGAAAAAAAAAATGTTTCTATCTGCGTAATCTTGGATCATGAATATTCGTCTGTATAGCACGTCCAACAACTTCAATGGGTTCAGCTCGGTTTAGTTTTCACGAAAGTTTTATTTTTTTGTTATATATTTTTAGTTAGGTTTTGATAGAATGCGATAATACAAAACATGTCAATAACAATCAAATTATTACTACAATGTTTCGATCAGAATTATTGCGGTAGTCTGCTTCTTCACAACTCAACCGAGTAATACATTTCAGTAAGTGTAGCTATCTTATCTCAGCAATCAGTTTTACACCATCTCATACAAGAGGGCTTTTTGCTTGTACGGAAGAACCTGTGCATGTATATCTGCGTATATATATATATCCCCCCCAGGGCGTCGACCTGGAGGGGCGCCGGTTGGAGGCGCGGGCGGTTCTTCGGAGACGTTTGTTAAAAAAAACTTTTAAATACAAAACGTATTATTTTTTATTATTAACTGATTTAAATTAGAAAGTAACTTATAATTTCTTTTATTATTTTGACTATTTAATTACTCTATATTTTTGTTTATGTATCTCTGAGGCTCCTTACTCCACATTTTTGTTTTTTCTGTATTATTCTAAAGGGACTCGTCCCAGAATAAAGGATTATTATTATTATTATTATTATCATTAAAATAATTAATTTTAGCCAATCAATAAATGGACGGTATTAGAGAAGTGTTGAACGAAATAAAATTAAAATATTACATAATATAAAAAAATAGATTAAAAAATAAATTTAATTTTCTTGAGAGGGTGATGAAGGGGGAGAGCGTATTTACCCTGGGACGCCGAATCTCTAAGACCGGCACTGCTACGTTGTAACGAATGCACCTGGCCTTAATTATTCCAACAATCATTTATGGTTGAGAAGCCAATGGTTGAGAATTTAATTGTTTGTTGATTTTTTTTTTTTTCTATAAATTGTCTAGTTAAGACTATTACAGTCTTCTTCTTATTTGGAACCTTAAATGCATTACTTAGCGATGGCAGGAAGTTATTTATTTGCCTTGCTGTTTCTTCAACATGTTTGAATAACAACTCTACTTTCAAATCATAAATTTGCTTATTTTTAACTGGCACAAGTAAAAGAAAATCGAGGTTTTGGCGAAAATCTTCGAATAAAATAAGGTATATACATATATACACATATATATATATATATATATATATATATATATATATATATATATATATATATATATATATATATATATATAGATATATATATATATATAAAACTTGACAAGTTTGTGAATGCCGTTTCCACCCTTCCACAGCTCAACCTTCATTAACTGGCTAAGGTATGTAACCAACGAGCGCCTGCCTTTCATCCATCGGCAATTAACATATTACGCGGACCTCATGAGACACTATATACTTACTTGACTTTCCGCTCCAAATTTTTTAGCCAGTGTCTTGGAAAGGTATCGATTCTAAACGTACCGAGCGTTAAGTTAATCTTTAGCGTTCTATCCTATGGTATCTATGGCTGAGTATTCTGCTCGATCCATAACTGCTTTATTAATTAATTAATAGCTAATTAATAAGATATCATTATAAAATGTGGACCATTATAATATAACAGATATCCAGGCAAGGACGACTAACAGATATCGATGCAAAGGAGGATGATCTAGCGGGACAAAAGTCAAAATATCAATAGTGAATCTTTTAAAGTTACATCAAAGTATGTTTGTAACTTGGAGTAGTTAAGAAATGAAGATTAAGTCGAAATAAATAAGAACAAGATGTTTAAACATGATAGCAAACATTGATACTTGTGCGCCAATCACCCTATCCATTATAAGTTAGCAGACGTTCAGCTACTATTTGTAAATTTTTAGTTAAACCAGTTTTTTAAAAATATTTATTCCATTTCAAAAGGCTAGATCTTTGAAATATTAATATTAATACAATGAAAGTTTAGCTTTTTTTGGAGAAAAAAATAAGTTAATCTTCTCTTTAAACTGAGAAAGAAAAAAATTATATGCATTTATTTCAAAATGCTTTAACTTGCTTGGAACCACTATGCACTTCTATATTTAATTTATCATAATTTAAGCATAGAATATAGTTTAAATATTTAATATTTTTATATCCTAAATTTTTCCGGCTCTGGAATTTACTAAATTTTAAATATTTCAGTTGCAAAAATTGAGGTGACAAGAACCGTCGTTTGTTTAATTGGTCGTTATTTATCGTTAATCCATTTCACAAAATTTGATACAGGACAACTATGATTATGCCAAATATGCGAATTGGTTAGTGTGACATACAGAAATTTAATTGCGTATTTTCTCTGATGACCTCCGAAAGAGTTTTAAGATACTCTTAAACGAGTGTCACTGATCGTAGATTGGCTACTCCAGGAGCTATTTCTGAGTAAAAAAACAAAAATATATACATTTATTTAAAAATATACGTTTATTTAAAAATACATTTATTTTGCTTCTGTTTACTTTTTTTTTCTTTTTTTTGTACATATTGTGGGAATGTGATCTTACTTCCCTATAACCAATGTCCAATTGACAGAATGTTATATTATTAAAGAAATGAAAAATTGATCAATAAATAAATTTAATTATTTTATAGCTTGCCTAGTAGTTTAATATATTTTATATTTTTCAGAAATTTGAAGTTGTCAAAAAAGCAAAAAAAAGAAAAAAATACTGACCAAAAAAAGGAAACAGTTTTATTTAAAAATTCATTAATTTTTATAACTCGTTTAATAAAATTAAAATACCATTTTTTTCCAAATCGATTTAAAAAAAAAACTTTGAGAAAAACATTAGTTTGATTTTGATTAAATAATGTTTTATTCTATTTATAATATTCAGTTAGTTCGTAAATGTTTCGTAATTTTTCATATGAATATCTGTTTTGGCTTTTTTCCCACTACAACAGGCTACTGTACGACGATTTTCTGATAGATAAAATTCTATACCCTTTATAAATACAGGATGTACTATATCAATAGTTTTTTGAGAAACCATGGAACTATCTCTTTGTTGATTTTTCAATTGAAATAACATTTCTTGAAGAACCATACCACTATCGTGACGGAGAATATCTTACAACTAGCGCTCACTACCGCAAATCATAATTTAGGAAATTCCAATATACATTAAAAATATATGATCAGTAAAATAAAAAAAAATTAAATTTAAATAAACATTATGTAATGTAAAAATTACATAACATACTTCGAATAATGCTCCTTCTGTCGGCATTTGACGTATAATGTCAGGAGATGAGAATATTGGGGAGAAATACATCCACTGTATTTGAACCTTTCCCCAGTCATCCAACATTTGATTTATGTATACCAATTTTTCGTACCAGTTACAAACTTCGTCTGCAATGAAATTAAATTTCGTTAGAAAAATTAATGATTATTTTCAGTAAAAAAAAAATAATAACTTGAAAAAACTAAACGCTAATCTTTTAAGACTGATAAAATTTTCTCTGTTGTTATGTATATATATATATATATTTTCAATGTAAGTTGTAAATGTAAAAACGAGAGACGCTTAAGAATTACAAGAACCTGTGTCTTTGTTATTGAAAAACACATGAGCTTGATTGAGCTGGTCAATAAAATTTTAGTTAACTATAAATCATAAAATCTACAATTAAAAAAAAAGAAAAAAAAAAGAAGCCTATATTCTATTTCTTACCTTTGTATGGTCTTACGAAGGCTGAACCTTTCATTCCTAATGCCTTTCCTAAGTGGTCATCTAAGATGAGTTGGATTTCTTCTAATGACCCTAGAATGAACTTATCAATTCTGAAAAGATAGAAAACAAGTAATAAATATTATGACAAGTTTAATCTTAATAGATAATATAATTCTAATGTCATACGTTAAATATAAAAAAGAAATATATAATATAAAAAATAAATTAAATATAATACAAGAAACATGCACCACAAACAAAATAAAATGTTCCTTTAATATTTTCTTAATTATAAACAGAATATTTACAAATATGAGTATAACAAACTAGCAGATGAAAAAGTAAAAGAATAACTTAACCTAAGTCTAATCCAGCAACAGATACAATTACAAAGGCTATTATATCTCGGCTTACTGATGCTGCAAAACAATTTGGACATCAAGGCCGTGAACGTGAGAATATCCAAAAATTATCCACGGTAAACTACCTCCAAAATGGGAGATTATCTCCGATACTATATGAAAGAAAGCCTCTCCTTGGACTTTTTAAGCGAGTTTCTTAGGAATTCCCAATCGCATTGCGGCATTAAAACACAAGTACGCTATGCGAGAAATAAAGACAAGTGACTATTCACCATCATCCATCACATAAATAACAGTAACCATGGGTTGCCATGTTACAATATAATAAATAAATATATGGAGGAAATATCCTAAATTATTTCAATGCTTTTAAAGTAATAAAAACTAACTATCCTTATTTTTCTGGATTTTTCCAAGGCATTTGATACAGTTTACCTCGACTTCCACCTTACCAAACTGCAAAATCTTCCTCCACCTAACAGGGTCCTGCGTTGGTCCAAATTATTCCTCTCAAATCGGCCCCAATATGTGGTCGTTCCAGATCAACATCCATCCGAGATACTTTCCCTCTCATGTGATGTCCCTCAGGGTTCCTCTCTATCCTATACCCCTGTTTTTGATATTTATATTAATGGCCTTCACGTCTTGATCCATCACTTCCAATGCCACATCTATGTATATGACTTACGATTATACCTATCCTTCCCGTCTTCTGATCTATTACCTGCCACAAAACTTAAATAGAATCTGTGATTGGGCAGAAGCTAAAAAGCTGAAGTTATATGGGGAGAAGGCAAAGATAATGGTAATAGACTCCATTCGTCTCCTTAAAACTCATTCTAATATTCCGATTCTGTACCAAAACGATAATCCCATCAAATTGTATCCTGCAATTAATCATAACGCCTTTTCTATGTGCTCCTGGTCACTTCCTTAATATTCCGTATTGTAATGAAAGCAATTGATTAAAAAACAATTGAATTAAAAATTGTACGTTAATTATATATTTGTATGGATCTAACATAGTTATTTAATTCTAGAGTACATTTTCTTGAATCTATAACAAGTTCTTGCGAAACGTCAAGAAAAGTAAAACGGGAACCTCATAAAGCCTAAATAACATTTCTTAATTTATTATTAACCAGAAAATCAGAACGCATGCTCAATTCCTGAAAGAGAAATGTGTTGAGAAGTCAGGAGTCGCTGAGTAAATTATTTAATAATTTATAAAGAATGAGTAAAAACAGAAAACATAAACAAGCCAGTTAAACATCAATCAACTAGAGCACATTATCTTTTTGTCTAGGTAATATCTCTATATTTTACCCGTCTTTTATTTACGAACTTTTCCCTTTGTTTTATAATAGGACTTCTTAAGTGGGACGAATTTGTCTCTTCGGCATATGAATGGTTGGACTTCACCTTTAGTCGCTGATTTTCTCAAGAGGACTTCACCTCTCGCGGGTGATTTTATAATTCTACTCGTATGCCAGTAAATGGCTAGGTAGGGTGAAAAAAAAAATGATTTTTTAATTCATGCTCAAATTAGTTCAAGGTCGAGATTCAACGACATGATCACGCACTTACCTCAAAAATGAACTTATCCCTCATTACTAGTAAGTTTATTTTTTGGAAAATACTAGTCATTTATGATTTAAATGTAAAATACAATTAATTGTAGATTAAAAAATTATAAATACCTCGTTGAAAAGTTAACGTTAAATACGACATGTTGCCAATCCAACAACATCTCATCAAGCATCTTTTTGAGTGCAGCCTCTCTTGTAGCTGCAGTGCTGTAAGGCTCAATTCTGAAATAAAATTGTCATTTAATTCACAACAAATATATCTTTAATTACAATTCAAATTCTTATTGTCATTACAATCAATTCACTAATGCTAGGATCAGTTGTAGCTAACAAATTATTAATTAAGCAATATTGTAAGTATTTACTAATTAGAAAGTATGTATTTTATATACAAAGCGAAACAAATAAGAATATTTTAAATAATTATTACTTTTCCAAAAATTCCGTAATGCCGAGATCAATTAAGTGTTGTATGCTCATTCCCTTGAAATTATCTAAGGTTACACCACAGATTGAGGATATTTCCATCCAGTGTCTCCGCACCATGTTACGATTGGTGAGAATTTTTATTATCGGACCACTTAGCTGGAAAAAACAAACAAAAAACAATAACATAATTCTTTGTTAAAATAAAAAAATATAATAAAATATGTATTTTTTTTCTGACAAATAACCAAGAATATTAAAACAAATTAACAAAACGAAATAAAGTTGGCTAGTAAATAAAAAATGCAATGACTACGGGTCCTAAAATATAATTTAGATTTTTTCTTGTTTTATTATTATTATTGATAAATTAACAAAACTATTCAATGTTGAAATACGCATACTATTATATAAAAAGTTCTAATATTTCTTAAAAACATTTATGAATAAAATATGAAAATGGGCTCATATAAACCGATTAATGTCGATTACGACCAACTAAACGAGAACTCAACTAGTTATTATTACAAGCTTATTATATATACATGTATACTTTAAAACTATCGAAAAGTTCCTAAACTCAGAATTAATTCCATCGGTTTGCTAGCAACGATCTGCTGGATTCCAGTGGAAGTTTCATATACCTACCTGGGAGGTAGTCAAACACACGAGAAAAAAAATATTAAGAAATACCTACCAACTGAATTGTTGAATATCAAAACATAAATAAATAAAATTTCCGTTCTAGCCCTGATGAAGACCTGCAAAGTCGGGTCGAAACGTTGGCTTTCAATAAAATAGTTTTACCACTATTTAGCCTATTTATGACCGCAACCCCGGACCATCTCCTTCCTTTATAAATAAATATAGATAGAAAGTAAATACATGATACAGATATAGAAATAACAACACTGAGATTCAATCCAGCGGGTCCATCAAATCGGTGATTCAATTGATGAATAAAAGAATGCACTACATACCATAAATGAGTTTAATTTAGGAACGGTCAGATAGATTTCTTATGTCATGGATGAGCTCAGCACTGAGCTAACAACAATATCACCAACAAAATATAATTTACACACTAAAACAAAATTGCGGTGAAAAGACTCAAAATTAATTGAAAAAAAAACAAATGGTTATTACATGCTTGAGGAGTAAAAGATGTTGGGAGAAGCAGCGAACACTGCAAATTATAAAAAAATAGATCTCCAATAAAATCATTTGAAAAAAAATTCAGGAATAACCCTAGAGTGGTAAAGAAATAAATTAAAATATTTTCTACAAGATTGTAAGTTTGAGATAGCCGTCAAAATATTATTTTAATAATAAAATAAAGTAGTAAGGAAAATGACCGAGCTAAACTAAAGTTCCTATAATATTTAGAAAAAATAATTTAAAATCCTGTATATTGGTTATTGAGGAGCAGAGGTCTAAAAAACATAGTGTAACGAGTGTGTATTGAGAGCTTGTGTGTGAAAGGTTATGTAAACGCAGCTGTTGTGAGCGAAGAGTTTGTGTGAAATGGATTTGTCACTGCGATTATTTTTATTTATTCTTTCTATGTTTAGTTAAAATATGTTTTTGATAATCATTCATTTTCTTTATTATAATTATGTAATAGTGATTATCGTATTAATCAGCGACAAATCCATCCATAATCATTCACCAGCTGTAATATTTTGGCCAACGAGGCATTTTTTCTCTCTATCTTTATTCATTGTTTTATATAGTATATTACGGCTAAGGCCTTGGAAATTATATTTGGAACCCTCCTTTGGATTTGTGGATTTGTAATAAAACAATTCTCGAAGGATCAAGTTTATTTCTTTTTGCTTTAACCCCATTATCACAAAAATAGTTTCAATAATATAATTTTTTCTTCTCTATAAGTTTTATATAAAATTTAATAAACTCTCTAAAGAGGCTGCTATTATGAAATAATCGAATCAATTATTATTACTGCTCAGTATATTTAACATGAAAATTTTATTAACTATAATAATACCTTCAATGTTCTAATCGATTCTAAAACGGCATTCAATAATTTAATAGGCCCTGGCCAAAGTTTTTCTTCGGGACTATCCAGGATGCCATCGTATTGGAAGGTCCACCTTTCTAACAATTGTTTCTTTATCAGACCTCTGAACCATTTTCGGAGGCCTCTGAATTTCCTGCAACAATATTAAAGTCAGTTTAGAATTAGAATTTAAAACTTTAATAAAATTAAAATTACGTATTGTTGATTAAAGTAATTAAAAACCTGACAGATTTTACTGAAAAAATCATAGGATAATATCAGGGAGGCTTTAGGTCTGGAAGATCAACAGTTGATCAGATATTCTCTCTGAGGCAGATAATGGAAAAATGTTATGAATTTAACATAGACATGCACATCCTCTTTTTCACGTCTTTTTCAAACAGGCATACGACAGTGTAGACAGCAAGGGACTTTTGAAATCTATGATAGATGTAGGCGTACCCAGGAAACTGGTCAGATTTACAAAAATTACGCTAATGAAGACTGCAAACATGTAACTTTCACTCTTCGACGCAGATCCTGTCAGCCAATCCTTTTTAATTCAATTCCTCTTCCCTACTCAGACACAGTCCGATACCTTGGCTTCCTTCTGGACAAAAGACTGACTCGGAACCCACATACGAGACTTAAAAGACAAGAGCTTAACCGACGATTTGGTCAGCTATATAGACTACTAAACATTATTTACTGAACCCCCATCTCATCTCTCAACAGAAAACAAATTATTAATCTACAAGACTATACTGAAACCTATCTGGACCTACGGACTTGAACTGTGGGGGACAACTAAATCATCGAATATCAATCGCATCCAGTCCTTCCAATCCAAAGTCGTTCGAACAATAGTCAATGCTCCATATTATGTCACGAACAAGACCCTACACCATGACCTTAACATCCCATATGTCCATGGCATCATCCCATCCAGATTCTCCAACTTTCACCAGAACCTCATTCATCATCCCAATCCTCTAGCGCAATCCCTATCCAGCTCCGAGCATCCATACCATCCCCCTCGAAGGTTGAAACGGCAGTAGCCTCGAGATCTTTTGTAAATATGCCTTTGGAGTCCTGGCAATGGCCAGCTTCTCCACTCATGTCCTGAGCGTCTGTGGCTCTAGTGCCCTCTTTCAGTCTCCACTGGCTTCTAATACTAGTGATGCGGCTGGAAAAGTGGCACTGGGATCTTCTGGAGTCTTGCTTTGCCTTCCACGTGTGGGGGAAAAAGCCTGGCTGGGAGATTCTTGGGCGAATGTATATAATGTATATAGTTATGATTGTGTTTAGCAGTTTTTATTTTATTTTATTTGTGTATTTTTTTATTTACCTTCTTCATCAGTATTATTTATTTACTTCTTATATTTATATTTCTTTCTTTATTATTTGTATATATTGTATGAATGAGAACTTTTAGCCCTAATGCTTATAGCCCTCCAGCAGTGGCTGATTGTATTATTATTCAATAAAAAGATTTAAAAAAAAAAAATTAAGACTAACTGTCGAGTTAAACTTGCTAATTCGATGTCTGAAGAATTTGAGACAAGGCGATCCTCTATCTCCCCTTCTTAATCTTGCCTTGGAAGTGGCTATTCGTCCTATTCGAACAAATCCAGGAGGAACAATTTACAATCGTATGTATCAACATCTGGCATATGCCGATGATATAGCTATTATCTCGAATACCCAAGCAGCATTATCAGGAACTTTCCAGGAATTCGAAGAAACAGCAGCTAAACTGGGCCTTAGAATTAACGAAAATAAGACGGTGTATATGAAAAATTCAAAACTGGAAAAGGAAATGAGTACAGGAATAGCATTAAGCAATCACATGTTCAGGTCTGTTGACCAGTTAAAGTACCTTGGATGCCTGGTCACATGCAATAATGAAGTAGAGAGTGAAATAACCGCCAGGAAATAGATGCTATTTGTCACTACAAAGAGACTTGAAGTTCAGATCACTCTCTAAAAGAATCAAAATTCTCACATACAAAACCATAGTAAGACCAGTGATTATGTATGGGTGTGAGACTTGGACCTTGGCCAAAAACTCAGAACGCACTCTCAACTCCTGGGAGAGGAAAGTATTGAGAAGAATATGGGGCGGAATCTTTGAGAATGGAATTTTGAGAAGAAGAAAAAATGAGCTGCGGGAACTCTATGGTGAACCTGATATTGTAGCATTGATAAAATGAGCCAGAATCAGATGGTTAGGTCATGTGGAAAGAATGTTAAAGAAGATGCTGCATGAAAAGCCGGATGGCAAATGAAGTAGAGGGCGCCCTGGGATCAGATGGCTGGAGGATGTTGAGTACTATCTGAGGCGACTGGGTGTTCGAAGATGGAGGGAAGTAGCACAAGACCGTGGAGATTGGTTGGCTGTAGTGGAGGAGGACCGGTTTCTTGCAGGACCGTAACGTAATTATAATAATAATAATAAGAAGAAGAAGAATTGTGAATTTATTGTTTTAGTAATATGTGAGAATGTTCTAAGATTTTTCTTTTAGGATTTGAATGAGAAACTTTAAACCACAAATACTACCTTTTGTTCCGCGGTGGATTATCTTAAATTTAACTCCCTCCCAAAAATATATTTTTTAAATCATATAAAAATTTATATGATGTTTATTTATAGGGTGTTAACGCTACAGCGTTAATTTGTTTTATTTTTATTTATTTAATTGATGATTTCGTTATTTATTAATGTTTAAATATTTATCAAAGTGAAATCAATTATTAATTATATTTTTCTTAAGCCCATAGCTTATGTTGTTTATATTCAATATAGACTAATTCATAGTTTATAGATTGTTACGGATTGTAGCCCTAGCTATAATTAAGTCCTATATTCAAGTCCTAAGCCCGTGGACTTGGCCAATAATACAGAGTCTGGCTCCGTCCGTTACTGAGCTCAGTGCTGAAAACCTCCATATTGCCCACTGCAGTATTACTGTAAAGATACCTACTCCTCTCGTCGTGCCCACCGCTGCTCACTTAAGCGCTCATAAAAAAATCTACATTTAGTCGCTGTAGAAGGGTTAGAGTGCTAGCGGCTCGTCCATTTTCTACGACTGTCACCTGCTTGCTACCACGTAACGTTGTACAACTTCTATTATTTTTTTTGTTTCCTATAACTTTTATTTTAGGGCAATTAATATTTGTTTATTTGTCTCTATTGTTGATTTTAATTTTGGGCGAAGCATATATCATTTCTCTATTTAATTTCCATAGTCAAACATCATTTTATTTTATTAAATATTTCTTCATTGTTTTTATTATCATTATATTCAGCTTATCTTTATTTTCATTTATTAGTAATTCTTATTTTATTTTGTTTTTTGGAAGTGTGAAATTGATTTCATTTTTTTTTTCTTTAATATTATGTTTATTTATTGAAAAATTAATGATCAAACCAAATCATTACAGTCCACTGTTTTATTATATATTTTTTCTCTTTTTTTTTAACCAAACATTTTCGTTAAGCTTCATTCAAAGTTTGATTTAAACCTTGAGGGAGCTTAACACAGGATATTTTGAGGCATTTTAATTTCTTTAATGACACCTTATATCTTCACGTTTACGTCATGGCAATTATTTTAACAATGCCGAGTAATTATAAAGCAATGATGCTACATAATTTATATAATAATAGTATTTTACCTGAGTGCTTGGTCCATTTCTTTTTCGATTACTTCATAATCTATATTCTCGCGTGGCCCGTTCAAAAGGGTTTCTGAAAATATCACCCATTCTCTTACTTGAAATATGAGATCCACCTGGGGCGTCAGGGCTTTCTGTTAAAATGAAGATTTGTATATCAAAATCTAGTCAATCAAATCTTATTTGTTAATAACATTATTTAATGTAGATAATAAATAACTATTTATTAAACTGAACGTTGTCACAATCGCTAATGTAGATAAACATTTTTATAAGTGGATATTTGTCGATGGATTTAATAATGTATACTCCTAAATTATAATTTTTAGATCTACATTACCATTCGAAAAGTTATATTACAAGCAAATGAGTTTCTGAACACAAATGAGGCAAAAACATAAAATAATTTATGAGGACATAAAGGTATAATGTTTATTATATATATATATATATATATATATATATATATATATATATATATATATATATATATATATATATATATATGTGTGTGTGTGTGTACGCATGAGTCATATGTTCTTTAAAGTATGGGAAAAATTGAAGTCAAGCTGATTTTTATTTTTTATAGTTTTGTAAGTGAAGTGTCTGAAAAAAAATGCAGTGAAAATTTGCCATTATACAAATTTTTAGTTTAACTCGAATGTTAAAGTTAACTGGATGGATGGAGGAAAAAGGCAAACATGTGAGGAAAACAGAAAACCTATTTCTTCCCTCTCTCTTCGTTGCTGAAAGTGCAATATGATATCGAGATTTCAATTTTAATGACTTTTCTATTTTGGTGAGTTTTTTGCCTTTATTTTTTTTCTTTTTCTTAGCTTCTCATGTTGTCATTAATTTTACCCATTTTACTTATTATCTTTTGAAGTAAACGAAGAAGAAAACAAGTAAATTTTATTTTGGGACATTTAGTCTCCTCTGAATAACTTCAAGAAACAACGAAATGTCAATTTTCTGGCATTGGAATACAATTAAAAATAAATTAATTTACCAAGTTATCTAATCCTAATATTAAAAAGAAGAAAAATTACTTGTAGACATATGAAATTATAGATCAATATATATATGAGTGAGATCACATATCTGTACAAATAAGGAATATGGATAATAGATATTTGTACGATAACAGTAAAATGCGGCTGAGAGCTCTAATGTAATAGGGTGTATAAAAAAAATTACAGTTTATCAACCAAATATTTGTTTTATTATTTCTTGGATCTAAAATACAATTAATACCCAAAGTATAGTCCATTGTTATCTACCGTCAATAGCCATCTGCTAGCCAATTCACGCTGATACCATTCTATGGGATGGCTCTCAAAGAACTCTTGGACCGCAATTTCAACTTCCTCAAAAATATCAAATTTTTCCCTTGAAAAAAATGAGCTGTGGATATAAATAAGTAGGAATCCGATGATGAGAGATCTGTATTATATGGTGGATGAGGCAGGAGTCTCATATCAGAACGGTTTTTAATAAATTATCAATTTCTAACTTCAAACCTCTTGGCTGATTTCTGAGGGACCAGTCTACTGCTCTTTTTTACCTTCCCCATGGAGAGTAGATGACGAGTGACAAAATCTTTCGACACACCACATAGCCTGGCAAGCTCGCGAGTACTTGTGGACGGATTTCACTCAACAGCTTCCTGCAGAACTTCATCAATATCTATTAATGATCGCACGGAACCCATCTTCCTTTCCAATGTCGTATCTCCACTATTAAATTTTTCAAACCAACGCCCGAAGTGGCGCAATGCGCGAAGGGTCAAGGACAGCTTCCCCTTCGTATTTAATAATGCCTTAAAATTGCGAGAATTTCGTAGGATACTGTATGTTTCTTCTTTGAAACAAATAACTAAACTGAGGATTTTTTTTAAAAAGTTGAATGTTATTAAACAAGTTTAGGGAATACTCTAAAGGGATTATCAAGTATTAAATAGGATTAAAATATTTACTTAAAGATTAAAATAGTCCTTTGAAATCGTGAATTTGATAAAACGGTCATTTTTATTATACACCCTACTCCAAAAAAGTACACAAATCTATGTGTATTGAAAATATTATGACATGGATCGTTAAATTAGTTAATTATATGTGATAAAAAAATAATAAAAAAAAATTTTTGTAATGTTAAATGTTAACTAATAATGACATTACAATTTTCCATACTTGAAAATGGCCCTAGTGATGGTCGAAACGTCCTAATAAATAGCTAACAAATAAAATGTTGGTAAAAAATGTCCAAATTTATATAAAAAATAAAAACTGAAGACACCAATTTTAGGAATAATGAACAGAAAAAATATATATTTTTCTTGTTATTTTAATTGTTGAAGTCGAGTAGAATCACTTTTCATGGATTGACATTTTTTTTTTAATATATTAACTGAAGTTATCTTGATCTTAGGATGAATGTCCGAATGTAAGCCCTCGACGGTCAAAAGAACCATACCGCATTACCAATAAAAGTTGCGGGCTCGTTTGTCTGAATAATGAAGGAGCTATCTTGGTAAGCTCTAAAATAAATTATTTTGTAAACAAATAAAATTACATGGATATGTATTCATTAATTGTTACCTTTATATCATCAAGAGCGTCACAAGGTTGTTTGGAGAGGCTGGGATCCATCGCTTTTAGTTCCTTGAAAATATACTTGGCTCTCACTTCGAAACCCTTAACAATTCTCACCAGATCCAATAGATACTGTAACATTGTTCCCATTATTAATTACATTACTAAAACTGTTAAGTTAAACTTTTATAATAAAATCTAATAAATGAAAACGTTATATCCCTGAGGGATCGAAAATTAGAGTAAAGAAGATTTAGATTTAAACAAAAATAATAAAATTAAAACGAAATGTTTACCACTACTCTCGATAAAGGATAATAAAGATGTAGTCTTTCTCATTAGAGTTGATCTAAGCCAGTAGTTTACTCAATGGAATAATCGATAATAAAATTAGCCAACAAATATTGTTCTAATGATGAAGTCATATAACCATAAAGGTCATTTATCAACATTTATCAATAAATGTTACATTTATGGTTCACTGGTAATATAGCTTTTATGAGATATGCAAGTAGAAATTTCAAAAAATAGAAATTTTCAAAAATATCCCGAAATATTGCAGACAAGTATTTCACCTCAAGCTAAAAATTTATCTAAAATATTTCATCGGGCGATATAAATTTTTTTTTTATTTTGCAACTTACTACTGATTAAAAAATTTACTATTTAAATAATGTTTCTCTGTTAGTGCCAATCTTGTTTCCCTCCCCCCCCCCGTTTTAAGTAACTAAGTAACATTTTAACATTTATTTCTCAACATCTCTCAATAAAAACCATATATATATATATATATATATATATATTATATATATATATATATATATATATATATATATATTTCATTTACTTATATATATATATATATATATATATATATATATATATATATATATATATATATATTAAAGATTAAAATTTGATATATTAAAATTAATTTGATATATATATATATATATATATATATATATATATATATATATATATATATATATATTATATATATATATATATATATATATCAAATTAGGTCCATGTTGATAAGTGATTTGATTGAAAAATAATTTCATACTGTTAATTCACTTTTTCAAGTTTATTGTACCTTTTTCTCTTTACAGCGAGATTTTGTTTTCTAACCACTCCTCCCGAACTAATATTTTCTCCAAATATTAGTAAATATCCAAATTTTAAATTATTAAGTGATTTAATGATAATTACCATGGCGTTCTCTTTAACGATATCGTAATCGGCAAAAAACTGGAAGCCGTGTAGATGCATTTTGTAAAATTCGTGGATTTCTTGAGTTAGTTCACGAATTTGAATTCCATAATGCTCTTCATAATGGAATTTCTCATTGAGCACAAACTAAAATAAATTAAAAAATAAAAAGTATTAAAATGTGAATATTTATTTCTTCTTAATTATAAGCTTAATATTACTGAAATAGATGAAAGTGGACATGATTTTTAATTTGAATAATCTAAAAAAAAATATATTACTTATTTTGTAATTGAGTATGAATGACACTAGTGGTTGAAACACATTAAAATGAACGACTTGATTTTGAGAATACGTAAATCATTCAGCAGATTTTTTCAGCTATTTTGGGCTAGCAAAATACAACAGTGAATCTTTCTAAATAAAAAATTATGGTTTTTAGAAAAGGTGGAAGACTGGCTGATGCAGATAAATGGCGATTTTAGGGTTTACCAATAGAAGTAGTCAATACTTATAAATATTTGGATGTCACACTAAGCTCCAGTCTTTCATTTACTTATCATTTGAAAGATCGTATATCGGCTGCTAAAATGGACCTTCATGTATGATATTGACATTGGTATGATATGCGGCTCAAGTTCCTGTGCCTTGTGCCTTCCTGAAAGTCGTCTCTCCAGAGTTATCGCCATTGAAGTGATTAAACGTAATACCTTTTGGTTTAAAAATTGTTGAAATTTGGCGGAAAGATACTCTTGCAGGTTCAACAGGTCTTTGGAATGCTTTCCGTTTTGGAAAGATCACTTAGCAACAATATGGTCTGCAATCCCTCAGCAACATTGGGAGCAGTGTAAATTAGCGACATTGAATTCTGAACGATTTCTATTGTATAGGGAATTGAATCATGGTCTTAAAATTTGGAAATTTGTGGATGGCTGCTGTTGGGATTTGATTGGGTTCGAGTTGAGTTGGTTTTTCAAGCTCAGGTGTTAACCGATATTTCCGACGCAACGCTTGAAACGTCTCCAGCGCCCCGCGGTGGTTGGTCTTGCCCTGGTGATAAGCAAGTGTTATGTCCTTCTGCTGCTCTTCATCCCGCACTGTATCAACCATCAGTTTGCAACGAATGAACGTCCTATCTATCCCTAATCGTTCATCCCGCCATAGCCTCTTTATCTTCTCTCAAATCGTTTCATTCCCCACATATAAGTGGTGAATTTTTCTTGCTTTCGACGCGTCTTTGAGAGCTCTGCAGATCTGGTCCACGCTGGCCCCTGGTTGTGACCAAATGGTTGTTATTCGGCTGTTGCCGTACTTGCTATATAGTATCTTCATCAGACCCAACGTCCTGGTTTTCCAGATGATCTGGCGGTTCTTATCGTTTACGATTTCCTCCCGTTCTTCCATGTCCACTGGCCTCTCTTCCGCTGGACTCTCTTCTTGTTGGGTATCAACTCCATTCACATTTTCCCCCACCGCTTGTACCCCCTCTCCCTCTGGCGTCCAGTCCCTCAGGAATCGTCTCACGCCTCCCGATGATTCCGCTGTATCCTCCTCTATGGCATTCATAGTTAGCACTCTCGATAGCCAATCCGCCACCACATTCTCTCTTCCGGGCTTGTACACAATGTCCATGTTGTACTGGTTAAGAATCTCCTTCCAGCGTGTGACTCTAGCCGAGGATTCCTTTAGTTTGCCAACCCATTGTAGGGGTCTATGGTCCGTCTGCACGCGGAATTTCCTCCCAAAAACATATGGTCTAAAATGGTCGATAGCCCATACGATCGCTAACAGCTCCCTCTCCAGCGCACTGTATCGCGATTCAGCATCCGTAAGTCGCCTGCTGGCATATGCTACGGGGCGATCCCCCCCATTCCCATCCTGGGATAACACAGCCCCCAACGCGTATTCGCTAGCGTCCGTTGTGATCGTAAACTCTTTCGTAAAATCCGGAAATGCTAATACTGGCTCCTCTTGCAGCCTCGCCATGCATTTCCGAATGTTGTCTTCCATTATGGGGGTTACTATAACCTTGCTGCCTTTCTTTAATAAATTGTTGAGGGGTACGAGGTATTCCGCCATTTCGGGCACAAATCGTCGATAATAATTAAGGGTCCCCAACAATCTGCGGATCCCTTTCACATCCCGAGGTATTGCCATCTTCTTAATCGCCTCCACTTTCCGCGCGTCAGGTTTGACTCCTTCACTCGATATCGTGTGCCCTAAAAAATTTATGTGGTCCTGCCCTAACAAACATTTCTCGCTTGACAGTTTCAGCCCAAATTGTCTGACTCTCTCAAATACCCTACGTAGATGCTCTACGTGTTCCGCCTCGTTTTTCCTAAATACCAACAGGTCGTCCATGTAAATTTGGCACATCCCTTCGTCAATTCCCCTTAGGAACTCGTCCATTAGCCGCTGGAATGTTATAGGAGCATTCTTGAGACCAAATGGCATTCTCGTAAATTCGTAATGCCCCCTCTCGAACGTGAATGCTGTCTTCAACTGATCTTCCGGAAGCATCCTAATCTGATGATATCCCGCTTTCAAGTCGAGAGTACTGAATACCGTTGCCCCGCTTAACCGATCTAAAATGTCCTCAAACTTCGGGATTGAGTATTTTTCATCGACCGTATTCTCATTAAGTTTGCGGTAATCGATTACCACACGGTATTTCTCCTTCTCCTCTCCGGGCGCGCTTTTCTTCTTAACTGCCCATAGCGGGCTATTATATGGCGACGTGCTATCTACAATTATCCCCTGCTCCTTTAGACTCTCCAACTCTTCCCTAATGTATTGGCGAAGGGCCTGCGGATACCTCCTCTCTTTCACGTAGCTCACCTTTTCGTGCTTCAGCGGGATCTCGTGCACTGTTTTGCCCGTCACCCCCAACGTATCTCCCTCCTTGAAGAAGATGTCTTCGAATTCCCTTCTCACGACTACTCTCCAATCCTCCGCCCGACTTATAGCTCCCACACGTGCTCTCCGGTCCTCATGCCCCTCTATTGCCATCGTACTCGTATACCTGATTCTCCCCGTCCTTATTTTCCACTCCTCCCTTTTATATGCGATTCGCACGCCCACCTTCCCCAACATGTCACATCCTATAATTACCTGGTATTCCCGCGGCATTTCTGCCACTACATGCACCGTAAGTTTACCTCCCTTGGCTGCCCACATCCTCAAACCTATCTCCACTTCCCCTTCTACTCCACACGGGCCACCCAGGGTGATTAGCTTACAATTACATACCTTGACTTGGAGTGTCCTCTCTCCATCGTACAGCTTCTCCAACACTCCACGCGTCATGATGGTTTTGGAACTCCCGGTATCTAGCAGGCATCTCACTCCTCCCACCTCTATTATAGGTAACCAGCAGCTTATACCTCTGATATTATAACTTACTAGAGTGCGGTCACCCCTCGCCCGACACTTTCCTCAGATCCTCTCCACGGCTTGCCGGCGTCCACTCCTCCCGCTACTTCTTCCTTGACTCCTCTCGTTCTCCCGGCCTGCTGGGTGCTCTATCTCTTCTTCTGTCTCCGTGGCCGTGGATTCCTCCGACGAGTCTCTTGATGACTCACTCCTCCTTGCGTGTATCTTTCTTCTCCTCAATTCCTGAGTATTTACCTCCATCGGCTCAACCCTTTGTGAGCCTCTTCTGGAGTATATGTACGGACATTGCCTTGCTATGTGTCCCTCAGTCCCGCACTCAAAACATTTCGTGCGGGGACACTGCGCCACCAGGTGTCCGCTCTTTCCGCAACCGTGGCATTTCCTGTCCTCTTTCCGTTGGCTACCCCTTGCTCTACCTTGTCCTGGTCTTCGTTCAGCTCCGGTGGTCTTTTCTCTCCCGTTGTATGCGGGCTCTCTCCTTCTCCAGGTCGTTGGTGAACTTCTAGGTCTCCTATAGATCACTCTGTTCCATCCTGGTTCCTCCCCCTCCAACCGGGCCTCTTCATCTCGAGCACTGGAATCTACCATTTCTTGGGCGCATTCAATAAACGAACGTTCCCGGGGTAAGCCATCTTTCTTTCCAGTTTCTTTAGCCAGTTGCACCTTCAGTATGGTGAACAAAAAGGCCATCTTAGCTTCGACCTCCGGAGCTCCAGCTGTCTCCCGCATCTTCTCGGTGATCCGGTTGTAGTGAGCTACTAGTGTTGCCGCATACTGTCCGTTGGACTGCCGTGAAGACTTCACCTCGCGGAACATCTGATAGATGTCCTCTTCTGTAGTCCATCTGCCACCGCCGTAGGCTTTCTTCAGTCTCTCCTTGACCGTTTCCCACGGCGTCTCTTCATCTGCCTGGATGTGGTTCAGGATACTCCGTTTTAACCTGCACACAAGAGCCGCCTTAAGGGCCTCCGCATCCCCAGCGTTGACAAGGTTCTCATCAATCTTTGCATTGATTCTAGCCACGAGTCGATCTCCACCCTTCAGAAAATGATTGAGCTCACCTATTTTCCAGTGAAGCGCTCGAGATCGGATATAGCCTCCCTGAGGTCCTGTGAAGTGGCTACCCGGATTTTCATCCATTCTATCGCATTTGCATGCGCCGCGGCAAAGGTTCCCTGCGGTAACGGAGGGATCTCTGGCACATTCATGGGAGCCGGCTGCCTTAAGTCAAATTCAGGCATGCTCGTAACGGTTCTCCTCTGGTTTTAAAAAAAACGTACCTCTGCACTCTCACCGTCCCGGATTTCGGCACCAGTTAAACGTTGCGGACTTTAAACACTTAAAAAAAAAGAGTAAAGGTTTAACAAATAACACGCATGAAGTCAGAAACAAGACTCCTTTATTGCTCCTTATAATCTCCTATATATACATTCTAAGTTGTTTACACAAATGCTTTTGGTATTAAAGCTAATACTGTCCCGCTCCGTACCTTAACTTATATATATATATATATATATATATATATATATATAATATATATATATATATATATATATAAAGCGAAGACCTTGAAACTATAAAACTAAATGCGACAACGTTAATGAAAGCCGGTAAAGAACTAGGACTCGAAATAAACATGGATAAAACAAAATATATGGTTAGCTGCAAAAATGGCGATACTACTGGTGATATCGATATAGATGGTAATATGTTTGAACAGGTAGATATATTTAGGTATCTAGGTTCTACGATAACTAGAAAAAACGAAATTGAAGAAGAGATTAAGGTTAGACTGAAGGCGGGAAATGCTTGTTATTTTTCTGTGACAAAACTACTTAGTTCGCGCCTCTTGTCCCGAAACTTAAAAATTAGAATCTATAAAACAATTATCTTGCCTACAGTTATTTATGGGTGCGAAACTTGGCCGCTTACATTAAGGGATGAGCAGCGTCTTAAGGTTTTTGAAAATAAAGTATTGCGTAGAATATTCGGACCGAAGAAGGATGAGTTAACCGGAGAGTTCAGACGGTTACACAACGCCGAATTGCGTGAACTGTATCCGAGTAATATAATTGAGATAATTTCATCGCGGCGGATCAAATGGGCTTGTAAAGTTGTTGGGCTTAGTAATGAGAGAATTCCTAAAAGATTAATATTTACTGTGCCGAATGGTAAGCGTCCGAGGGGTAGACCGAAGCGAAGGTGGGAAGATTGCATTAAAGCCGATCTGAAGGGACTGGGTCTGGACGGCGAACGATGGAGGGAGGTGTGCAATAAGCGATTGGTGGTGTCGGCA